AAAATTTTTATACTTTTCTTCTTCGGAATAAAAATATGTCATTAAAACCCCAAAAGTAATTTTTGGACTCTTGTTGAAATACTTAAAATGCTTCAGTATTTTTTTTACGGATATTTGATACTTTACACCAATCTTTACTTGTTTATGTATGAAATTAACTACAACGCAAAACATGTTGAGAGGGAAAAATATCCACAGCACTGGTGTGTTAAAAAGGAATACTAGTACTGAAAATAATTGACCCGTAATTTTTCTGCTAATTCCATGATAAATAATTCAACAGCCCAAGAAAGAAAAGACATTATATTAATCTCAAGCATGAATAAATCTTTATGAAGGTATGCAACATTGTTTTATTCTGTTTTTACTTAGTCTTCATTAAGTCGCTTAGCAGACAAATCAGCAACACACGCACACCTTTACCTAAACTATTTCTTCCTCGGTTCCTAACACAAGTATGCTTAACATTTCATCAGCGCTATTCCTGTCCATTGCTAAGAACGTTTAATTAAGGTTTTAGCATTTTCCGCCAGATCTTGAGCACTGCACACAAATTTTAAAGCACAATATTTGTCATAAATATTTCCTAGAAATTAGTTTTCCTATCTAAGTGGATTCGTTGAAAACACAGCCTCCGCGTTCCCTACGTGTACGTACAGCCGCAAACTGACTTTCCTTGCGAATTACATCATATTTTTTACCCATATTACAAGTATAGAGTACAACACAAGTATAGACAATCCATGAATGCATTCCAGTCTGTTACTTATTGATACTGAGATGCGAAAATCAACTTAATTGATAGGTCTCTGCATGTTGCAAGGGTGATAATAGGAAGACTTGTTTTTAGTTACATTGCCTGAAATAAGGGTCTAGAAGAAGAAATAATAGTTTCTATGGATATAAGTTTTATAGAACTTACATAGTTAAGTACACTGTAAATGAATTTTATGCGAAATTTTCTATTAAATAACTCAATTCCAGTTTGAGTTTTAAATACTTATTAAAATCCCATCTGAGTTTTAAAAATATGTACTTATTCAATCACTACATTACATGCACATGAATATATAATAAATCGTTTTTAATTAAGTATTTGCGCCATAGATGCAGCAGTTGTTAGCTACACAAGTGATGGTACACAAGTGATGAGTGCCGACACGATTTTACAATGTATATAGAAATAAACAAGACAAGAACCGCCCTTATCTACTAACAGTGGATTTTCATACAATGCACATGCGTATCTTTACCTTACTAATTGACTCCTATTATTAGAACTGCACGTAACTCAGTATATATATTACACTAAAATAGCCGAAAGAGAGTCGAGGATTTCCAGTTGCATATTTTTAGAAAACCCAGTGGAGTTATCTAACTTGCTTAGTGGCGCTGGATCGCGAACGGAAGTAGATTTACGATGACAGAATGCGCTTTGCGCTTAAAAATGAATGAATTTCGCAATTCACACAGTAAAAGATTTCAGAGGTCATGGAAATTATTCATGCTGAAACACAATATGGCAACTTCTTACCGATGCAGCGTAGGACAAGGTAATTCATAGAATTTGTGTCCCTGCTTAATGAAGAAGAGGAGGCGAAAGAAAAGAAAGAAAAATATGCAGATGTAGAAAGAAACAAGATGTGTTTGTGAAACAGTGATGCCCCCGTATGGCAGCTTATGGCGAAGGTTAAAGTTTCTCAAGTCAAAATCCTGGCCAAAAGATAAAAAATGTTGGTACCTAAAGAAAGGTCTTGTCTCGAGGAATATACCTGTGAAATTCGAAAGCCCTAGCTGCAACTGTTCAAAAGTTATGGCGAAGGTTAAAGTTTTTTAAAAGTAAGTAAAACGTCAAGGTCAAAGTTGTTGGTATCCAAAGGAAGATCTTGTCACAAGGATTACATATGTGAAGTATGAAAGTCCAAGCATCAACCATTCAAAAGTTATGGCCAAGGTTAAAGTTTTTCAAAAGTAGGTCAAACTACTAGGTCAAGGTCAAAAGGTCAAAGTGGTTGGTATCCAAAGGAAGGACTTGTCACAAGGATTACATATGTGAAGTATGAAAGCCCTAGCTCAAACCGTTCAAAAGTTATGGCCAAGGTTAAAGTTTTTCAAAAGTAGGTCAAACTCCTAGGTCAAGGTCAAATGGTCAAATAGGTTGATATCCAGAGGAAGATCTTGTCACAAGGAATACACATGTGAAGTTTGAAACCCCAAGCACCAACTGTTCAACAGTTATGGCCGAGGTTAAAGATTTTCAAAAGTATGTCAACCTCCAAGGTCAAAATTGTTGGGATTTTTCGATCCAGGGGCATAAAAAGTCAACCTTGACCTTTCGGCTTGAAAAGTTAACACGGGTCTTTTAGGTAGGTTAAAAAAATTGATGACCTATTAACTTTAAAAGTTATTTAATTGAAAACTGCAAGGGCTGTTCGGAAATTATTGAGACATCGTGTAACTATATTCTTCTTTCTAATGAACGTCTTTCGGTGAAAATTTGCATATACGTTTGACAAACACTAAGAATTAATAAAAGCAAGAAATATTTTACAAATATTTTATTTCTTCTTTTCAGTGGTATATTAATGTGTCACTGGTAGGGGTACCCGGCGCAGTCACGAAATTAAATATTGAAAATATGTAACACCAACGTTAAAACTCCCGGTGGACCCACAGTAAGAGCGAAAATATTTCAAATTATGTATATTATTTTTCAATTTAATTTTTTTGTCTTCATTTTGAGCAAGCTTATTAGAATTTCGATCAGAAATACGGAGATCATTAAAAAAATAATAAGCGCGGTTTACAAATCTGATAATGCCGACAAAATGGATTTTGACGTCAAGGAGGCGCAGCGAGTATACCTAAAATGTGTGTAGTGCTATGGAGAACTCTTGTCCAGACTAAACTACCTGCCAAAACAATAACAATGCGATAAAACATGTCTAAGGGTTTGTTTTTTCATTGGTATATATTTTTTCTAACAAATAATTCAACAAGAGTAAAAACAAAAGCTCCGGACGGCCATCAATTATTTACGGACGAAATAACGTTGACCCGCGTTGCATAAATCGGTACTGCATGATGCTAAGTCAACCTGTATATGACACTTCATGTATATTTTACACTGGGGTAGCAAGAGCACACGTTTTATTATATATTTTTAAAGAATTGTTTAAGAAAAGAGACTTTGATTTTTGGAATGTTATAATTATGTGAAACATGAGAGCCCTAACATCAAACATTCAAAAGTTATGGCCAAAGTAAAAGTTTTTCAAAAGTAGGTCAAGGTCAAAGGGTCATAGTTGTTGGTATCCAAAGGAAGGTCTTGTCACAAGAATTACATATATGAAGTATAAAAGCCCTAGCACTAACTGTGCAGAAATTATGGTCAAGGTTAATGTTTTCCAAAAGTAGGTCAAACGTCAAGGTCAAAGGGTCAAATTTGTTGGTATCCAAAGGAAGGTCTTGTCACAAGGATTACACATGGGAAGTATGAAAGCCCTAGCACCAATTGTTCCAAAGTTATGGTCAAGGTTAAAGTTGGGTAAAATTCTAAAAAAAAAAAATGGGTCAAACTCCTAGGTCAAGGTCAAATATGATGGTACCCAAAGAAGTCTTGTCACAAGGAATACACATGTAAAAGATGACAGCCATAGCTCCAATCAATCAAAAGTTATAAGCAATGTTAAAGTTTTTGCGGACAGACAGATAAACAGACAAACAGACTGACGGACAGGGCAAAAAATATACCCTCGAATCTTCGATTACGGGGGCATAAATATATAGGTGCACTATACTAGCTGATACATGTAGAAGCACATGTAAATGATAAATGTTCCATTTTGACTGAGTGTCCGTTTCTTTTCAAATATGCTCAACTTCACCATATTCTAAAGTGCTTCATTTGAACAAAAGAAGAAGGTACGGTATTAGCTTTATTGTGCCCTAAAAATCTAATGTTTTCCAAAGGTTTTGAAACTGGCTTAAATATTAGTCGAGTATATGACTGTGATAAATCAGGAAAGAATATGGCATGAAGGAGTACCATTCTGGAAATATGACGTCATCAATTTGATTCATTTCTCTATTTTAAACAGAAAATGCCTCAAAATGACTCATTTCAGGGGTTATTTTCCTTAAGAAAATAGTGTCCACAGCCGTCGCCCACTTTAATTTTTGGCAATGTTGTGTAAAATTCTTTGAAAAATCACATATCTCAAAATCTTTGTGGGCGATGGCTGTGGACAATATTATCTGAATGAAAATTCCATTGAAAATTGGTGTCTTCTGCAACTTTTTAAGAAAATACGGGAAATTGCACAAGTTTATGACGTCACAATAAGCATTTAGAAGGCCATGAGGGAAAAATGATTTGTATGATCTTTCTGCATGGAATTTCAATGATTCAGAAAACATGAGTTTTAATTTTTCACATCACTTTCATTTTTAAGAAAAAAACAGGGCAAGAATTGTATTGAAACCGTACCTTGTTCTTTGGAACTAAGCAATCTTTGATGGAAACATTTACAACCTCATATGACCTTACTGTATCATATTTTATCAAAAGTCATACAAGCCTTGACAAGCTATAAAAAGGGTTTGGGAAATGTTTGAATGAACTTAAAAAATATAATTCTTTCAGCATGTAATTTCACCCTTTATATGAAATATTATAAATCTTAAAGCCTCTAGAATATGACATACGACCTGTAGTATGAATGCTCTAAATTTTACATTTTGGTTCGAATAGGGTACTTCAATGCTACTAGTATATTAGATTAATATGATCGGTAATCGAGGGGAGTGGGAAACGTACTGCCTCATACAAATCTTGCGATGTAGGGACCTTTTCGTTTTCAGTTGTAGTTTTTTGATAAATTATATATGGCTCACCAGCTTGGTTTGTTACTACTAAAATGTAAAATTGAATTCATTGTCGACAAAATAAATTTAATCTCAAGACCATGCGAAATAAATGAAATTGATAGCATGCTGACTAAATTTACTACTATAATTCTGACATAAATAACATCTTTTTACAAAAACGAAAAAAAAGTTTTAATTTTCTCAAAACAGAGATTCATGTGTTATTACGGATTTACATTTTGACGCTTTCTTCCACCACATTTTCAAGTTTTTGGACTTCGTTGATCACAATTTCTCCCTTCGAGTTCAATTTTTCCGGTGGGATATTTTCGTTCATATCTAGACTGTTTCCTCCTGAGGGTAAACGACCCTCCGAATATTCCTCTACTGGACGGAGAGGGACTCCTCCACCCTCGTTTGGAACCTCCCCAACAGAATTCTTGTTAACAATCTCAGGAACGAGATGAACTTTGGACGGAACCGAATTCTGAGATTCTGGTGCCGGTAATCTTACTTCAGAACTGTTAGGATTTTTACTGGGAACCAGAAGTATTTCATTGTTGCCTTTCATATTTATCAAATCTGTTTCCAAATGATCAATATCATCAACTTTCTCTGGTGCTTGAATATGCCAAGCAGAACCTAAAAAATTAAACATAAAATGTATATTCTGTTTTACTCAGAAATGATACAATGTCAGGTATATAGATATTGTTTCTTTCTAAAGACTTCCTACAAATATTTGCAAATCGAAACACAATCGCGGTCTACACTAGTATTTATTTACGTTTAGTCCTAGACTCGCACAAGTTACAGTACAGCTGACAGTTTATCTTTGCCCAGCTTGCGTAGCGTCCCCTGCAAGCACTTCGTCCGTAGCTTGCACAATCTGACAACTTGTCGCTACAAGCTGCAAACCAAAAGAAAAATGTTCCCTCAAATGACTTTTTTGCTAAGAGAATGCAAAGGAGCACTATACATCATGCTTTAAAATGGCTTAATTCGAATTCTATTTTTGAAGGTTCAGTGATCATAATTGTTTCATTTAGCTTATATAATAGTCAATTTATTGTCAACTTTGACGTAAATTGGTATAGAGTGTACTCACGCTGACAGAATTTGCAATGTCGTCTGCAATTAATTTTTGCCCACGGAGTGTAAGCAGTGCATACGTCATCGCCGTATTCGTCACAGTCGTTGATTTTGTCACGGCAGTGATCACTGCTAACTATCACAGTTGTTGGTGGCGGTGTTGTGGTGGTTGTAGTAGTAGTGGTGGTGGTGGTGGTGGTGGTGGTAGAAGTGGTTGCTATGAATAATTTAAATGAATCAATTCTATATCTCTTTTGAATATCAGCAAGTAAAATAGTCATTATCAGTCAAATTACTCGATTATATTTCTAACAAGAAGTCTCTGACGAGACTATAGCTCTGCTGAGTTTTACTTTACAAAGGTAGGAAAAAGTAGCACTTGGGCTTCAAACTATGGCAACAGCAATAAATAAAACAATGATCCTTGGTTTAATCTCTGTAGCAAGAGTAGGCTTTTGAAAGAATTTCACAGAACTATATATTTTTTAGTAAACATGGCAATATCGTTTCTTAAAATCAAAACCCTTAGGGAAATCTACTTGTGTACCAAGTTTTATTGAAATGGGACTGAAAATATAGAAGGAGTATCATTCTGAAAGAAATTCTTTGAAATTTCTATTTCTAGTAACCCTTCTACTGTATTTCTAGTAACCATGGCAACATTCATTCATTAAAATCACGTATCACTTGGTCTTATTATCTTTAATCAAGGCTCTTACGTAGTAGAGACAACACTGTTACACATTAATTCAATTTTATTAACAGTTCAACATTTTGACTATCGGTACTGACAACTTATTTAGATTCAAAGGGATTTAAATATATAGAGGATATTCAATGTTTTGTAGATGAATATGGAATTTATTTCACGAGTGGGACAGGATTTTTTGATATTTTCACTCGTGCTTCGCACTCGTGAAAATATCAAAATATCCTGTCCCACTCGTGAAATAAATTCCATATTCATCTACAAAACATTGAATTTTCTGTTTATTACATTTTCTTTGATTTTCCCTTTGCCTCTGTCTTTTTTTAACACAGTGTCATAGCTAGGCTTGACGTCATAGTTGAGCGGTTGAGACGTCATAGCTTAGCAGTTGTGAGATTGAAAACATTACATAGCATGGATTTTAGCAACATATTTGGGAAGAAAATTACAGGTTTAGCAGTTTAGCACTATCAAGATGTTTAGTTACTAATCTCTACCTTTTGGCAGGCAAGAAATTATTTTTTACTTACTCTGATATCCTTTCACACTGTGAGAGAATATCATTTTGGTATTCTTTCACACTGTGAGAGAATATCACTTTTATTCAATAAATAAATCACAGTATTTCACTGTTGAAAATGTAATAAACTGCAGTAAGTACTACTCTGTACTCTACTCAAAACATACCTATGAAAGAACACCTACCAAAGGGCTTCTTTTTTTACATGAATGTTTTGGATACGACTTGAAATCACTTGAATAAATCATTCCAGAATAGACTCATATGTATTATAAAAATATTTAATAAAAAGAAAGAAAACACGAGAAAGAAAGAAGAAAATTTATCTGAATGCGTAACATTGTAAATCGTACGACATTTTGTCTTCTAATCGGGGTCAGAACGGTGTTTCGATCTATTTAATCGAGTTCAGAATCGATACAATACGCAAGGAAAATATTTGCAGTGCTGAAAATTTTTTAATATAATTTCTCCTTTCCGCGAATTCAAACGACCGCGATTTGCTGCAAGTTGAACAAATCGCGATCTTTTCCGACCGCGATTTTAACCTGCTGTACAGTATTTCTAGTAACCATGGCAACATTCATTCATTAAAATCAAACCTGATACACATAATTACGTCACTAATAATAGTCCACTTGTGTAAAAAGTTTTATTGGAATAACATCAAAACTGTAAGAAAAGTAGCATTTTGAAAGAATTTCACTGAATTAAATTTTTTTCAGTAACTAATTCAACACCATTCATCAAAATCAAAAACCGATAAAGAGACTTACGTTTCTTAGTGTAGTGTACACGGTTATAATGAAATCTCACCAAACTTCGGAGGAGTAGCATTTTTAAAAGTTGTTTACAAAGAGACAGACGGACGAACAACGGAAACTTTATCATCGCATAAGCTCTTCTGGTCTCTGACTATTAGAACTAAAAACCTAAATGCATTTCTTCCATAAGATGTACATTTTCCTCCGTCATTTTTCAAAATAGGTGACCAGAAAGCTAAGGCTCAGATGTGATTACAAATTAAAAACGAGTTTCTGTTTCTGAAATACTTATGCCCCCCCCCCTTTTTTTTCAATAATTGGAATTTTTCTAAGTCCAAGGGGCATAACTCTGTCAAGAATTGCTCAATTGTACCCAAAACAAAACTTGACCTCGATAAATATTTTAATGATAAATCTGTATACCAAATTTCATTTCAGTATGTGCAACCTCTGTGAAGAAAATGAACGGAAACTGCAAATAATTGGATTTTTTTTAAGTCCAAGGGGCATTACATTACTCTGTGAAAAATTGCTCGATCGTATCGAAAACAGAACTTGACCTAAATATTCTTATGATAAATCTGTATACCAAATTTCATTTCAGTATGTGCAACCTCTGCGAAGAAAATGAACGGAAACTGTTGGTGGACCGACAGACCGACCGACCGACAGACAGCAGCAAAGCAATATGCCCTCCCTTCTTCGAAGGGGGGGGGGCATAAATATGAAATACTGTACGTTTTAATGTAAAAGGAACCAGTAAATTAAAATTTTTAACACGGGTTTGGATCAGCCTAATACAATCAGTGTTAGAATTATGATCTCATAAATATATTTTTTAAAAGTGTACATAAATATATACCGAAGAAATATTTTTTGTCTTTTTGACCATATACGTTTTGCTAATTCAAGGTTCCTACAAACTCGTAGGCTCTGCAATTTTTAAAAAGTACGTGCTTCAGATTTATAAAAATCAACAGTTTATATATATCATTATCAGGGACGTAGCATCGTTTTTGAAAGTGGGGGTGGGGCAGCAGGAGAAAAAAAATTCAATTTACCTGAAAAAAAACTTGACAAGCAAAAAAAAAAAAGGAAAAATTTCATTGTCCGATATCGAAAATCTATTTCATGTTGGTGGTGGTGGTGGTGGTGGTGGGGGGGGGGGGGGTAGGTACCAACTTCTTTCAGTACCAAATTTTATTCATACACTACTACAAAACCCTTATTTGACTATTCTACAACAAAAAAAGGGGGGGGGGGGCAACCGACCTTTCAATTAACACTTCAACATTTCAAATAGTAAAAAAAGTCTTTGGAAAAAAGTGGGGGGGGGGGGGGCAAACCCCCTCTGTTGTCACTTGCCTATATATATATATATATATATATATATATATATATATATATATATATATATATATATATATATATATATATATTCGCGAACATTAAGCTATCGTGAATATTGTTGACTTCTTAATGTTGGATTCATGCATTTATCAAATACGTACAATACAGTTTAGAACCCTGTCTTCCTATTCATTAATTATAGTAAAATAGTAAATCATTAAAAATCATTGGGAATCGCGAGGTAGGCCTAAATAACAACGAATGCTTAAAGTTTGTTACTGGATACGTTTGTTGTAATTAATCTATCATGATTTCTTTGTTTTATTGTTTTAAATCACAAATATTGAATAATGTGGAAGGAAATCAGTAAGCGTGAAATTGAAACCATCGCCAGCCCGTTAGCGCTTCATGATAAATATGCCGGCGTGAAGCGTTGTAGTTCATGTACCTCATGAATTCTCAAAATTAAATTCATTTCCTATATTTACATTATTTTTCTGATGAGTTGTCACAGAATACTCCATTCAACTGTCATTTTTAAAGCAAAACAGTTTGCACTATGGTTTTGAAGTCAAGTACGGTATTATTCATGCTCATCCATGGTATTTCATGAGAAATAACGCGCTTCATGAAATATGCCGGCGTGAAGCGTCGTAGTTCATGTACCTCATGAATCTTCAAAAATAAAATTCATTTCTTAAATGAACAGTCTTCTAATTTGCAAAGAATCTTAAGGGGAAAAAATTTGGAAATGTGAGTGTAATATGACGCGCCATGCACACCTTCCTTCAGCTTTTTTAAATAGCCCAGTGTTATGACGTCACAATACTTTATAGTACTGAGACGTCACAATCATATTTCCTTTTTCAAGTGTAGCAAACAGCTGTGTCACAAAGAATGAAGTCTAAATATTTCGTTTTAGGAGCCGCTCTGACTTTGCCTTTTTGTTCTACTGCTCCAACACACACATATCACGTATCAAAATTACAACATGTTCCTGCTCACTCTCCTTCATTGAAAGAAATCGGATATGGGGGGCTGAACGGCATCAGCGCTGGATATGAAACCACCGAGAAAAATGACATCCTGCGTCTTAATATTCATAGCAAAGATGCTCAAGACCTACATCTCTCTATCTGGCAAGACATTTTAATCTTTGCCAGCATTTTACTATTGTGTACATTGACTGGATTTATAGGTTACAATTTTGCTAGATGGAAGAAGGATTTTAGTAGCGACGAAGAAAAGGACGAAAACAATGTAAAAGAAGAGGAACTGAAGTTGGGTCCCGATGCAGCACATTTGTTTTACTTCATGGACTTGGCACAGCAGAAGATGGCAAAAGGTGAAAAGATAAATTCTCGATTTGTGTTTTTGGTTACCCGCCGTTAAGCTGTTGTACTGCGTCGGAACAATCACTTTCGAAATTCATATCACAATAAGTTTAGTTCAACAATGTTCATGCTATTGCTTTGTTCTCACACATGTACATGTATTTCCGTTTTATATTTATTAAAAGTATGTGAACTTTTCCATGTTGTGATTATTTAACCGACAATATATCTCAAATGCATTGATTTTTTTTCTTACTAGGAAAAATACTGAACTTATTCATTTTGTGTGTATCAAATCACCAATATCTTCAAGTGCACTGATGTTTTCTTTTCATACAAGATGAGACCAAACTTACTCTGTTGTACAATATTGATAAAATGATTAGTCATCGTCACCATATATGAGCTAACATGTAATAAATCGAAAATTTTCGATGGTCCGTGACTTACTTGTGCTATCTGTGCCACATAGGTTACAATAGAGTCGACAATTCTTTTTTGCCCAAGGAATATAGCCACCGGTGCATGCTTGTCTGCCATAATCTGCACAATCCTCTATTGCATCTTTGCATGCTGTGAAAAAACAACTTTCAAATAGAGGCTAAACTAAACGACGTTTCCTTAGGCAGGGAAACTTGCCCCGTTTTTTATTTAAAAATTGTTGATACTTGCATCTATTATGTTTGCTTAGAACGTTAAAATTGTATCGAAGAATTTACTGCCTCTTTTTGAGACAACTTACGTTGGCAGATTTTGCAATGACGGCGACAATTTTTTTGGGACCAGGCTGCGTACCCAGTACATACGTCATTTCCGTACTCCTCGCACCTCACAAGGTCCCTGCAAGGGTCGCTGCTGACCAAAATAGTAGTTTCAACAGAAGCAGGCGTTGTTGGAGCAGTGGTTGATACTATTTCTGTAGTTTTATGGGTGTCGGATTTGGAACCACCTAATACAGGAAATCAATGGAATAGTGCATATTACATGTTAGTATACTTAATATTGTTCTGCTACTTAATAAAAGAGAAATAAAACGTCGTACACAAAAAATTGTAACTAATACTTTTTTATAAATTCAGTTTTCCAAATGTCATACTTTCACAATAAGAAGACTTACCTCCACAATAGTTACAATACAGTTTGCAGTTCTTTCTCGCCCAAGATTCGTAAACACCTGTACAAGAACTTTTCCCATACGCTGCACAGTCCGATATTGCGTCTTTACATGCTATTAATATCATTTACAAACGCATTAAAACTTCAGTTCATTAGTTATTATACAAACATTTTTGTTACATGCTTCGGGAAAACAAAAAACTCACGTTCACAAAATTTACAGTGGCGCGCACAGTTTCTCCTTGCCCATGGCTCATACTCAATGCAAACATCATCACCATATTCGTTACACTTCTCTACATCCCGACAGGGGTCGCTACTCGCAATGTTAGAAGACGATGATTGGACATTGTTGCTACTGCCACTGCTTGCTTGATTTGAACTTCCCTGGTGCGATGTACCAGAGCTTGTGTTCACATTCACAGCTACATATAAGAATACATGTACGTGGATCTAAACATTCCATATTAATTAACATGACTATCACTCAAACAGTATGATCAATGAAAAACTTTATATACCAACCATCACAGTAGTTACAGTACAGTTTACAATTTTGTTTTGCCCAGTTTTCATAATTTCCAGTACACGAACTCTTTCCATAATCAGCACAGTCTAACAGTTTATCTGTACAAGCTGAGAAAGGGAAAGAAGTCAATTTTCAAGACTTTCCTAAGCAGTAATGGTTAAATTGGCAAACAAACCAACAAGAAAACTAACAAGAAAATTATTTATACTGTCAAGTATTTACATACGTTGGCAAAACTTGCAGTGACGTGCGCAGTTCTTATGTGCCCACGGTCCATACGCTGTGCATACGTCATCACCATATTCATTGCACTTAACTTTGTCTCGACAAGGATCATTATTCGCCTGTGCGTCTGTATTGCCAGTTCCAGGTGAAGTGTTTTCACCTTAAATAAAAGATTAGATAATGGATGGAAAGAGTCCTAAATATTACCCTAAAAAATTAAAATATTTCAAACGTTTCAAAAAAACCTTGAGTTTAATATTCTTGACCATTTTTGGATAGCAAACAAACTTTTGTATTAAAGGATAAAGAAGGTTGTAGTTTTTAGAAATGTAGGCTTCTCAGAGTAAATTTTTCAGAAAAAAATGCATTCTTCACATCATTGAAAAAAACTTACATAAATTGCACCAATTAGGACAATGCTCTCGGGACCATTTTGCAAATTGAGGATTCGTGCAGATATCATCTTCATACTCAGCACAATTTACCTTATCTGAGCAGCTCCCTCCAATTCCCACTACAGTGGAGCCACCTTGACAATATAGCAAAAAATTAATCTCCACTCATCATAGTTGCCAGAAATCTCCGATCATTTTAATACTTAATCAATATCTATCGCTTTTCGCATTCCATATTCTAATGTACATCAAGAATATGAAGATCACATTCTTCTTACTATTACATGTACAATAATCATTGGTAAGAAGGTCTGTCTTATAATGATGACACCTTAAATTAGATTATGTACCATCAATCGGATATATTTAGAAGACCCTTTCCAAATTGTGCAATTCTTTGAAACGGAGATGATGTTTTTTTATGAAATGTAGCGAATAATTTACCGGAAGTACAGAAGCCACAGTGTTTTCTGCAGTTGATCTGAGCCCAGTCTTTGTACTCCGCACAGACATTGGTTCCATATGCTGGGCAATCTTCAAGGTCCTCGCATGGTTTTGCTATACAAAACACACAAGTTAGCACTGAAAGCTGCTCACCAGAAACGTCAAATATTGAAAATCATGATCATTGAAATTTACTACACATGTGTTAAACAAGCGGAAGAATATCAGAGAAAACTACTGATTAGAACCAATCAAAGAAAGTACATATTTAGTAGATGAACTTGAAAAGAATGAACAATATATGTACTCAAAGCATTATGTATACTAGTATATAAGCAGTAGTACCTTCGGGACACAAGTTACAATGTTTAACACAATTCAGCTTGGACCACTCTGGATATTTTGAGCACACCTGATTTCCATAGGCACGACAGTCCACTTTATCCGAGCAAACACCTTAACCCCAGAATATAGCAAGTCGTAAGCAAGTATAAGCAAGACAGTCTTCCTTCATAAAAGCTATATACTTTCTTATGCAGTTAAATAAAGTGAGAAAGAGAAAAGAATAAATACATTTAAGTACAACATTATGGAAGTGTAGTTTAAAGCAAAACAGTATTATAGTAATGATAAAGAATTCCTTTTAAGGATATCCGTCCCTCAGCAGGAGCAATAACCCTAGATATTATTATTTATTTTACTGTTTCGAAATGAAGTTTGCACCTGAAAATTTTCCTTGAAACAATTTTCATTTCATGCTTTTTAATATGATTTAAGTTGAAGCATTTGAAACGACTAACTAAAAAGACAATTTTTCAAGAACCCGAATGTCTTTTTATACAAAGCTTATCAGCAAGAAATTAATTTGAAAGTCATCTGTGATATATCTTACAGTGGTATCACGTGCTACTTACACAACATAACTAAAAAAGATCACATATCTCGTACAAGTATCCAAAACATATATTTAGACCAATTTTCACTTTGAAAATGTGTAATGTTTTATTTACATTTCCTCAAAACATATATGAGATTTTCTTATTTTCCCTGTATAAAGTGATTAAGTATAGTTATAAACTTCAAAGAAAATTGTGTAAATGCACATTACTTTGCGAATTTCAGGTTTGTGAGAATTTTCAGTTATTTAACTACTGACTTTCAGAGCCCGATGGACGGACAACCTTAAAGGAAATGATTGACAAATTGTAAAACTCATATTTTGATTTACTCCTTGTTATATTGTATGTCTTTACAAAAGAATTCAGAAAAAATGGCTTAATTGCTGCCTTGGATGCAATTAATAGTAATCTTTCAAAGAAGATCGCAGAAAAAGTGTCAGGACATTAGAAAAGAATGAAAGTGTAATTTTATTTTAACCCCAATTAAAGCTTAATCAAAATTTTTCAAAAACGTGACAGGATGTAAAAATTATTATTGCAAAGACTTTTGGAATGAAAAGTCTACCTGTAACTTCACACGACTGTGTGTTGCATAACCCGCTAGTTCTGGGTTTCCTCGCGGCGTTACACCGACTTTCTGATACCGCGGTGAATTTGTTTCGTTGTATAGTTACACACTGTACCCTTCTTGTATGGGTTCCATTTCCACACTCTTTGCTGCACTGTCCCCATGAAAATGCATGCCATCTTCCAGTAAAAACAAATACTTAGTTTCAAACTGTTTTTAAATATCTATAATCATTTTCATACATCCTTTTCTAAAATACAACGTTTAAGTAAGATTTGTTCATTGCAATGTAGCATTGAACTTCGGTAACTTGAATATTGATATATCGAATAGCATGGATATGCTTTTCTGTAGGTATTTTTATCTTACAATATCTCGAATCCTTGGAAGATTTTTCTGGCGTTCTAGAGTTCCAGATTTTTGATTGTAAATGTTTTCTCATTTTCTGGTTCAGTTTTTAACTCAAATTATCGATGCCTTAAACAAATCTGATAGTTGATTTATTTGCGGACATTTTTTGCAGTAGGGATTGATAACTGTCTGGTCTTTAAAAAACTGTGTAATTAATTCTTAGTTTTATTTTCTTCTTTTGTTTTAATTGCACTGGTAAAGTTCACCGAAGAAGTATAAATCTTCGTTAAGTTAAACGCACAGATTTAAACTTTAACCAACAGTTACACTCACTCTGGGGGGCATGCCTGGATGTTGCAGAAGACGGATGTTTCCGAGGGCTTTTGAAATACATCACAGTTGTAGTCTTCCACATTTCTATTGTCGCTGATTCTGACGCATTTCGCAGTCCTCAGCTGTGTCCCTAAACAAAGGTTCATACTTTCATAAAGTATAATTTTACTCCAATTCACAAACAGGATTATACATGTAAATTGTAAAATAAAACTGAGCTCTTTCTAGGTTTAGAATGATTTTTGTAATGAACGAAGAGCAGGATTAAAACTGCTTTGTAGATCTTTAAATTACAATCATCGTATTTACTACCTGAATATTGATGACATTTCACACATACGCACCTGTTCCACATGAGGCACTGCATTGCCCCGTGATGACGTGCCATTTGAAGTTTGCATGACCTGAGGAACCACCAGTCGGGGTATGATAGGTATACGTGATGTCTGGAGCTACACCCACATACTGTGAGGCGTCGAATTTCTGATAAACCTGAAGTAGTTTCAAAAATGTTGGTAATTTTTTTTATTCAATTCTTTTTGACAATATTTTCTTCTGTATAATTTTAATCATTCTTGCACATTCAACATACTTCGATCTCCACGTTTGCAGTGGTAGGGCCAACAATTTCTATTTTTTCGGGAGTTGCACGGTATTCGATGACCACCCTTGATCCTCCGTAAGTACCAGATAGCGCTTTGTTCTTGTTCTGTCCAAATATACCTCGTCCATTGATTTTTAATCCTAAGAACCAGATGCAATGTTTTATTTTTCGGTGTACTGTGATATCGAAATAATTTGTTGATTTTGTCATTCGATATTACTATATCGATAATTTTTAATCTTTTAAAAAACTGGACCAGATCGACGAATGAAAAATACATGTACATATATATACAACATAGCAAAGCAATTGTTAAAACTTTAAAAATGGTTTGAGCGAGAGAAAAAAAAAACAAGGACAAAATTCCAAGTACTAATGTATTTTTACTTCCTTTAAATTTGCAAAAATAGAAAAAAAACTGACAGGTATTATTATTTGTGCTTAGGCACGTTTATTGTTAGGTGTCATTATTTATGCAATGTATACGTACCCATAAAGTTGTAGCCATTCTTGTTTTCCACTTTTATGCCAGTACTTCCTACGGGTATTGTCAATACTGTGTGATACCCTATATGATGACATATGTACATTTTTTAATTTCTTTGCGAGAGATAAAACTACAAATAATAAAAATACTTGATTTCTACATAAAGCTAATGGTTCATCGATAGGCGTGGTTTAAAAAAAAAGACAGAGAAAGTGTAGTAGGTGGTGCTTCGAGCACGTGAATTTACGGAATCAAGGGCATGCAAATATAATCAAGCAACTGGCTAGCGTGATAATTTTATGCATAAACGCCCTCCGCGTTTATGCAAATTATCACGCAAGCCAATTGCTTGATCAAATCACAAAACCAAAAAATTAGTTATTTCTTAAAAATGAATGAGAATTGGTTTAGATTTGTGGTTCATTGAAACTTGAATTGATATCAAATATGTGCTATGAAAACTAACCCTGGCTTTTTCTTTGACAAAACAGTCAACAAGAGGCCCCTGGACCACATCTCTCACCTTAGCACTTTGGGTAGGATTTGTAAGTGGTCCCAACCTATTCATAAAGGGGGTGGGGGGGGGGCATGATTTGAACAATCTTGAATCTACACTAACTGAGGATGATTCCATATATCTTTGACTGATCATGGCTTTAGAAGATTTCTAAGGTAAGGATTTTTTCCTGTAAGTTTTATCTTCTATTGTGACCCCGCCCTATCCCCGGGGGTCATGATTTAAACAATCTTGGATCTTTACTACCTGAGGATGCTTTTGTATAGATATTAATAATCATGACTTTGCTGTTCACGGAAAGAAGATTTTAAGGGATTTTCCCTATGTAAAACTGTTCATTGTGACCCCACCCTACCCCCCGGGGTCATGATTTGTAAATTTGAATCAACATTACTTCCATATAATTATGACCAATCATGGTTTTGCTATTCTTGAGAAGATTTTTAAAGATTTTTTTCTCATGTATTCCTATGTAAAACGTTCACTGTGGCCCAACCCTACCCTGGGTTCACGATTTGCATAATCTTGAATCTACACTACCTGAGGGTGCTTCAATGTAAATATGACCAATCACGGCTTTGTTGTTCTTGTTCTTGAGAAGAAAATTGTTCCTCTATATTCCTATACAAAACTTTGATCGTTCATTGTAGCTACCCCCGGGGGTCATGATTTGAACAAACTTGAATCTACACTTCTGAAGGATGCTTCCATATAAACATGACCAATCATGGTTTGCTGTTCTTAAGAAAGAATATTTTTCCTATGTATTCCTATGAAATCTTTGACCGTCCATTGTGCCCCCACCCTATACCCGGAGAGTCATGATTTGCATAATCTTAAATCTACACTACCTGAGGATGCTACCATATAAATTTGACCAAACATGGCATTGTTGTTCTTGAGAAGAAGAATTTCAAAGATTTCTCCTAAGTATTCCTATGTAAAATGTAAAACTTTGATCCTTCACTGTGGCCCCACCCTACCCCCGGTGGTCATGATTTGAACAAATTTGAATCTACACTATGTAAGAAAGGTTTCACATAAGTTTCATCTTTTTGGCCCAGTGGTTATTGAGAAGAAGATTTTAAAATCAATACCACCAAATTTTTATTATTTCTTAATTATCCCCCTTTGAAAAGGGCATGGGACTTCATTTAATCAAACATCGAATCCCCTTCACCCAAGAATGCTTTGTGACAAGTTTGGTTGAAATTGGGCCAGTGGTTCTGGAGAAGAAGTCGAAAATGTGAAAAATTTACAGACAGACGGACAGATGGAATACAGACAAAATGTGATCAATAAAGCTCGCTTGAGCTTTCAGCTCAGGTGAGCTAAAATACTGGAGAACGAACCTCTACTCACTAAGATGGATTTTTCTGTAAATATGACAATTTTCAAAAACATAATAAAGAGGGAAATGAAATACGAGACAGAATTTAGGACAAGTCATTATTTAAGATTAGATTTTTACACAGGAAACATGTTTGATCATAGAGATATCTCTTTTCCTGGAGGGTCTTCCCCCGTAGCATTTCAATCGAACATAGTTTTAATAAAGCTCTCGTGCGAGGAAGGTTTATCATTCTCATTTATCATTTAGTATGATTTTTGTCCACTTTAATATTGTTGTTTTTCTTGTAAAATGAGGTTATTAGCCATTTGTTATGGATTTACGCAAAGGTAATGACAATAATTCTCTATTACAGGAATATATTTTAACATTTTATATACGAATGGTCATTGGCTTTATCAGTTGAAATGCAAAGCGACTAACTCTGCTTGTGAATAGGAGGGGGTACCTAATTCGATTTTTTAAACAATGCCAATTTATAATGTGCTTTACAATATTAATATGAAATGTATCTTTTTACCGCCCGGATGATTTTCTGTGTATTTTCCTGAATGGGCCGTGCATGCATTTCCCGCACCATTACAAACTCCACAGTTATCGAACTTTGCTCGAGATCCTAAAATGCCGTCACAACCAAAACCCTTAAATTGCAACAAAAAACATCACCATCTTAACAAAAGCACTATCAAGAAATACATGTATTAATAAACAATACAACAAATAAAAAAACAAAAACAAACAAATAAATGGACTCGCTTACTCTATCTTAGCGATTACTGCATAATACAGTTACTTTTTTGTGTCGCCTGCAAAGCGGCACTTAGGGATCACATTACCCGGCGTCTGTTTGTCTGTCCGTCTGTTACACCTTATAATATCCCGAGAATAAGAGGTACGGATTTGATATTTTACACATATATTGCTTGACAGTATGCCTTTTGTAAAATAAAAGTGTTACTAACCTTTTAGCCCTTGATCTAGACCTCTGACATACTTTTCAAAATAGTTCATAGTGCTAATATGCAGCGTATTTTTACATTTCAGAGGTAAATTTATGTTATCAAGCATGTGCACTGTTTGTCATTAAATATTTCTTTAAAAAACCAGCGTTACAGGCCACTTGACCATGACCTTTGACCTACTTTGCCAAAAAAATTCTCCAGACAGTTTTAATTTATGCCCTTTTAATTTTAAGATACAGAGTTTTGATTATTAGCATGTTTATAAGCTCATGACATTGTACTTTGAAACTGAAAGACATACAGTAACTGTAATCCCACAAACTGAAATTTAAATATTATGAAAAAAACATCGGTATTCCAAAAATAAATCGTTGTTAAAGGGGCCTGGACACATTTGTTTACAATTTTGATTTTCTATTTTTATTCAAAAAATAACCTGAGTTTCATGAATTGATCTTACATGAAAATTCTTACATTCAAAAACAAAAAAATTCTTCATAACATCATGTCAAACGTCTATGATTGTAAACACGGACTCAACCTCTGTATTTGTTATTAATGTTTACGTTTTACCGTGGTTGTTCAATTTGTTTACTGTGCAAACATCACTGAACACGGAATGACAATATTGGTGAGTGGTTTTGCTTTCACATTTTTCTACTCTGAATTTGCTGTATTACAGTTTCAATATTTTTAGTTTTCAAATGACACGATTTTAGCAAGAGTTTTTTTCTCGTTGGTCGCCATATTGGAGGTATACAAGCCCGAATTCCTTCATTATTCAACCAATTTAAACTCGTCATACTGGGCAATTGGGTGAAGATAATATTTGGTGAGTGGTTTTGCTTTCTCACTTTTCTACTCTGAATTGGCTGTATTACAGTTTTAATATTTTTTTAGATAGTTTTTAGGGATGTCAAATAGGTCAATTTTTGATAATCGGTTACTCGGACGTTTTTCCGATCGAGTACCCGGGTACTCGGTAAAAATATAAATACAAGTGTGTTAATTTTCTTGAGCTACGTTAAACCCCAAAGCTGTTTTATCACGTTTATTAATGTATATAAACACTGATTCCAACGTGAATGATTTTTGGTACTAAATTTATTTATCAAATAAACACAAAAGACATAATTATTACATCAAAAATTACAAATGGTTAACAGTTCTTGTTTAGAATCTATTTCATCAAAAGGAGAAGGAACGAACGTTATTGGGATCGCTAGTCTAATATTATAGTAAGTTTAGTCAAATATTATACACGTGTAGTAAGTTATATGATTGAAAAGGAAAATAAATAAATAAGAGAGGGGAAAATATATATCAAGGAGGACAGACAGCATCATAAATTTTTAAAATAAACATACATAAATTTTTCAGCATTTTTTCATTTTTGGTTGACATTAATTCCATAAATTTAATAACATTAGGTCTGTGGGAAAAATAATTGCCCAGGTAATTTTTTCTTACATTAGCTAAAGTTTTACATTCTAAGATATAATGAAATTCATCAGCAGTTTGATTATTATTACAAAGTGTACAGATTCTATCACACAGTGGTATACCATACCATCTTCCAGTCTCTACTGGCAGATGATGATTTGCAGTTCGAAATTTTATAAATATTTTTCTAAATTTAGGAGATAACTTATCAATATAATGTTCAGATCCAAAGTTTTGTTTAAAGATTCTGTAAATCTGTCCTTTTGAAGAATTATTTACGTCACTAGACCACTTTTGAATAAATTGATTTTGTAATATTTGTTTTACAGAAGCAGTTATCCATTTATAATTCATATTGACACCCTGTTCGTACCATACATTTGATAAACCACACATATCACATATTTTCTGTATACAGTCTAACCATGGGTTTGTTAAGTTTCCATCACTGTACAGTATAAACATATGTTTGTATAAAACATTTACAATTTTATTTGGCGGGCCTGAAAAAAGCTTTGCCCAATATGAAATCATTCTACAATATACCGTAATATACAGAGGAAAGCGACCTGTTTCACCATAGACCATGTACGATGGTGTGGAACTTTTCAAATTAAATACATACTTTATAAACTTCAAGTGCAAACGCTCAATAATATCAAGATTTTCATAGCCCCATATTTCAGAGCCATATAGTAAGACTGGAACTACAACTCTATCAAAAAGGTCAAATTGACAGTCTACTGGTAATTGGAATTGTCTAATTTTTCTTATAATGCCATACATCGCTTTTTGTGCTTGTTCATATAAGTGTTTTTTTGTTTTACAAAAGGAACCTGTGCGTGAAAAAACAACGCCTAGATATTTAAACTCTCTAACATTTTCAATAACTAAGTTGTCGTAATAAAATTTTCTTTTTAACATAGGACCCTTTGAAAATACTAGAATCTTCGTTTTTTCAACATTCACTTTCAACTTCCATTGTAAACAATATGTCTGAAATTTATTGATTGCATCTTGTAATTCATCGGCTGATTCAGCCATAATAACAGTGTCATCCGCATAAAAGAGAATCAACAATTTAAAATACATTAGTAATTCGTTCTCAATGGTTCTTGAAATACTTTGTAAGCCTGCAATATTCTTGCTCAGTAAAAAATCTTCAAGATCATTAATATACATTGAAAATAAAAAAGGTGAAAGATTTTCTCCCTGCCTTACTCCTACATTACAACTAAAAAATTCTGTGGACATCCCATTTATTTTCACCATAGATTTAACACCTTTGTACATATTTTGAATGTATTGAAAACATTTACCATTTATACCATTAATATGTAACTTGGTCCAAAGCCCGTTTCGCCATACAGTATCAAATGCCTGTTTAAAGTCAACAAAGGCACAAAATAGTTTCTTTTTCCTTTGCATCAAGATATTTGATAAAAATTGTAAGGTAAGGATATGATCAAGTGTAGAATAATTTTTCCTAAAACCAGCTTGGTTTTCTTTAAGTAGATTAATTTCATTTGCATAAGCTTCCAATCTAGTATTTAAAATACAAGTAAATACTTTTCCTAAGCAACTAAGCAATGTTATGGGGCGGTAATTATCAGGTTTAGTCGGGTCTCCTTTGTTTTTATATATAGGTTTAATTAAACCAATCAACCATTCTTCGGGAACAAAACCACTTTCGTATATGATGTTAAAAAATTTTAAATAGACTGGCATAAATATAGTTAACGTTGATGAAATATGTTCATTCAGGATATTGTCAACTCCAGGGGATTTACCTTTTTTTATTTTTGTTACAGCTTCTAGTATTTCATTTTCACGAATAACAGAATTCAAAAACTCGTCGGATATGGCATGGGTTGCATTTGTAACGGATGGTGCATTATTACTATATGTATAGTTCTCTTCATTATCGCTTTCATTGATATTTTTCAAGAAATCATACATATCATTTATATCAACTGTATATACACAGCCAAAGGCGATAATGGATGTTTTACAGGTGTAGAAGACTACAAGCTTTAATTACCGTATACAAATTTAAGCTAGTTTTTGATAAAAATAAGTACTTTGAATTAAGAAAAAATACATATCCGAGTAACCGAGTACCATTTTTAGTATTCGATACTCGGACGTTCGATCGAGTACCCGGTTAACCGGGTACTCGTTGACATCCCTAATAGTTTTCGATTGACACGATTTGTGCAAAAGTTTTTTTCCCGTTGGTCGCCATATTGGAGGTATACAAGCCCGAATTCCTTCATTATTCAACCAATTTAAACTCGTCATACAGGGCAATTGGGTGAAGATAACACAATTTTCCTTACGAATTTATGTTAACGCAGGCTTTCTTTAATTCATAATTTTAGTATTTTAAAGATTTTTGCCCTTATACTTCTGCCATACAAGTTTAAAATTGGTTGCTCAAAGAGGAAAATTCGCTCGTTGGACCTCCAATATGGCGGCCAATGGGAAATAACTCTTTCTAAAGCCAGGCCTGTCGAAAACTATCTATACGCAACAAAGTTTTCACTTTTCTTAAATATTATGGATAAAATTTACTTCGTGAAAGTGCAAGGATATTTGTCAAACAAATACGTCCCGAAATTCGTAGTTTTAATAATTTTTAGATAAAAGAAGTTTCTAAATACACTTCTTTGATATTTTTGTGTGAAATGCTCTAGCAATATCATATAAGTCATTATATTACATGTATACTGAAAACTTAAGTAAATATTAACTTTCTATCTGTGTCCAGTCCCTTTAAGATTGACAAATGTAGTAAAGACAGGCTGAATTCTCTTTTGGGGGGTTGCTTGAAACACGTGAATAATTAAATAAAATGGTAAATATTATTTTTTTTTAAATAATTTCAATTTTATACTTATTTTAACTTTAAGGGTTTGGGACTTATATTTATATTTGTTTGTCAGCTTCTGTCGCAGTCTTACTATCCATGGACCTTAATTGTTTCTTTGCAGGCGAATGCATGAACAATAATGCTAGTAGCAAATGAATAGCTCACCATTCTAACATTTATTTACATCTTTAATGAAGCTATAAAGACAGGCGACATGTGCGTTCCTTGGAACGCTCTATGTTAGGGATATCAAAATGTCAGTTCAATACCTCGCAAACCCCTTTTACACATCTTGACTCGAAGGCTGCAGATGCCATGTGACACACTGATCCATCTGCTACAGCTTCTGCGCGTGTGTATATCAGGTTGTCGTTCAAAGCTCTGCATGTCAGTTTGCAATCTTAGAAAGTAAAAGTTCGAATAAAAATGAGAAACGCCAAAAAGCCCTATTCAACTAAATAAATATAATGACTGAACAGCTGAACTTACACAGGCCAAATTTCCCTGCAAATGATATATTTTTTAACTACCTGATTCACTTTCTGTAAACGGTACAAACTTGTATTGTTGTCCATGAACTGGATTTTTGTTTGTTGCAGAACATTGTTCCTCGAAAAATTGATGTTGGCTGGTCACACAGGGCTGAAAAAGTGAGCGAGTGAAGAGTTAGGTTCTGCATGGGCAGTGTTTCAAAGTCAGTCATTGTTTATTTCAGTTAAGATAAATTAACACCATAAGGCCACCTGATCAGAAACTTTTGATCTTTGCGAAAAATGAATATAATTCTAAATTTATGTACTGTACACAGTACAGATTAATAATACGTAAAGGCAGTGATACAAAACCTGAAGGTTGCAGAGTTTTGCTTGGTATGATTTTCCTGAACATTCACGACCACCAAATCTTGGTCTAATTAAAACAAAATATTTAAATGCACTTAATTGTGATATCTCTTTATTTAATTATGTATATTTTAGGACAATTTACCAAAAGTTGAAAGTCCGTTTTAAACTATATAATAACTGGAGACCCCTTACTCCGGATTGGTGCAGGTTCTTTTCTTTAGTGTAACTCCACCTCCACAGCTTCTAGAGCAACCAGACCACTGGGAGTCCCAGGACGACCACCCGCCATCTACCGGCTTTGGGGCACCCTGACCCATTGCCACACAATGGCCATTTATACACCACTTTAAGATTTGGGGAAATATTGCTTTTATTCACCGTTATGATTTACAAAGCTTTGGTCATATATATGGTTGTGAATGTACAAGTATGAAGCAATGGTATTAAAAGTACTAATCATTAAAATGTCAAATCCATTTTTGCATTTGTCCCCTCTCTTGATAAAAGAAAAAAATTAAATTGCATTGGGAGTTCTTTTCTATATATCCTTACATTTCTCCCTCCGCATTCTGTTCCGTCAACAAAGGAACTCGCGACGATTATACACTGCTGCGTGTCAGGACTGATGCAGTCTGCACGGCAAGGATGCTGTCATTAATAAAAGTGATTAAAAACTAACTGAACATAGAGCAATCTTCTTCCAAACTTCATTTGTAGTAATCTATAAATTCTACAAGAGACTGAAAAAGATAATAAACTTTATTGAAAACTAATTGAATGACAAATCGTGTGCCGTGTGAAGCTGACATTTTCTATTTCAATTTCACTAACCAGATCAATATACTAATATTCTAATACTTTTTGAAATTGAAATGTACTTCACATGACACACCTAGATGCTTGTGGCACTGCAACCAATTAAACTAATTTCTGTTAGACATATAAACATGTATTCACTTCTTTATATACCTAATTAATATTTTGTTTTTCCTTTGGTATAAACTTGGATATTGTAAACTCACTGTTCTTCTCACACATGACTTTGTTATTCCACCAAAGAACATTGTACACTGTACATCGGCTGAATATTTGATTCCAGGTTTTTCTTCAATATTGTCATAGAGTTTTACAGATGATCGACTGGGTATATCTGATAGACACCTCACTCCACTGAAAAATTAAAAACTTTTCTTTTCTTTTCATTATTAAATTAGTACATTCACCTCTTATCGTTCTGAATATAAATAGATTTGTGTTGTAGGTTTCCTTTGTGGTTTGATTTAAAAGGCAGATGTCAGACAGAATGAAAACAGCTGATATAACGAAATCTGTTGTAGACACAATTAAAACAAGTTTTGCTGAAATCTAGGTAGGCAAAATTTAACAACATTACGTGATGCACGGGGGTTTGTTCCTAATTTGGTCGTTAAAACGCCTTTGCTTATTCTGAAACCAACATAAACCTTTTATCACAGTAAGTTGCAGTAGTAATAAGTGCGTCTCAGAGGTGTATTTACCTTTAATTTGCTACTATACGGTGGTAGTTGTCTTCTATAATTGAGCAAAACGTAGTCATTAGGAATAGCTAAAGCCCCTAAACCTTAAGTGTGTTAGAATGTCGTTTCATCTGCTTCCTTGAGAAGAAATATATGAATTAAGTCCCCCGATGCACTGTTTTATTTAGGTCAGAGACAAAATCTTATGTTCTTATTTGAAATGATCGAGTTAACATTTTAATTTAATCAGTCTACAAATAAATTAACTTTGATATATTCAGTACACGTTGTAAAAGATTTACCTTAGGTAGTTTCTTAGATACTGAGCGCTACATGACGACCATTTTGCAGTATCGGAACTCGTAGAACCATATGGAGACATAATGTACTTATTTCGAGGACACTGATTCCCATCACCATCGTGTTTCATTCCTAATCTACAATAAAATAGGAAAAAAAGAACATACATATTATATTATAAAGAAAATGAACCGAATGAATTGTACTGCCAAAAATCCTTCAATGGCATAAAAGTTCGTAAACCTCAAGGTCGACACATTATACAAGAAGTGAATTTAAAACTTCAAATATTTATTTTCCAACAAACCACTTGAGACTGAGCTGACTTCTAACAATAAAAATATTCATTGTTGTATGGCGAAAAAATATATACAGAAATCAAAAGAAAGAATGTGTACTAAAAGGCAAATATATCCAATACTGATCATATAATGCAAGGTCGTTAGATACATTATACGAGAAGTTTCCCACAAATCCTTGAGGCGGACAAGTAATACTAAAATATTCATTTTTCTGAGGTGAATGAGTGTAAACAGATTTATTCACACTTATTGTTTGCATTGTGAGTGGTTGCAGTACATCCATTATCTTTCGAGTGAGCCGCCATTGTATTTTTTAGGATGACACAGTGACATAGAATCCAGCAACAGATTCAGCCAAAACAGGTACTCCAATTTGTACTTTAAAAAAGATTGATTTTCTTAATTTCTTTCAAACTACGTGGAAAACATAAAAAAAACTCATTAACTAGATATAGATCTATAGATTATATAAAAAAGAGTTACATAAAACTTTTTAAAAGCGTGTCTGAACATCTTTTGTAATTCAAATTAAAGTTGGACTTCGTGGTAATGACATGTGTTATATATATTAGCAAAATACCATCTTGAATGTATTGAAACAACAAGAATTCATTACGTGTTTAATATGTATAAAATAACCTACGCATCAATATTCACTGAAGGCGGAAATAATGTGAACCTCACACTGACTATGAGAGAGTAAAAAATATGCTTTGTATTTTTGGACGAATATTGCTATTGGATAAATTTACCACGTATTGGCCTTCGATTACTTTTAAAATTATTTAGACTTCATGTTTATCAAAAATTTACAGAGAAAAAAAAAACGGTTTCGTCTATTTTTACCACAAAATGCTTAACAAATTTGAGTAAAAGTGAGAAAATCTTACATTACCTATGTAATTTTTAATTGTTTAATAAGCCGAGTCACTATTTGAAGCCAGGTTTGAAAAATAAAATGGAATGGAAGATCAGAGAGCTACATGTACAGTGCCACCCATTGATAAAAGTATATATGTATTGCGCACAAAAAAGTGCGCTGTTTCTCGACCCCCCCCCCCCCTCCCCCATATATTTAAACTACCATCTCAAAGTATTACTAACCATGTGTTCCTAAATGTTTAATTATTTAAAAAACAAAACATTACCATTAATAGCCCTTCTGGGCCTGAAATCGAGACCATAGAAAATTTCGCCTATTTCGCTGCCATTTTGGGTAACAATACGGTCCAACATGTATACGCTTCTCGCATATGTCATTTATGAGAGTATTTGATAGAGATCAAAGGATTTTTTTAATCAAGCTTTTTTGCAGTTGAGGTAAGAGTTTTGAAAAATAAATTTAGAACGACGAGCAACTTTTTGTGCGCATTAAAAATCCCAGATAGCATGACTACGTTGGGCCAACATTGGTAAATGTTTGTATGGTTGGCGTTGGGTGGACAACAATGGGCCAACTTTAGACCAATGTAACCATGTCACCTTCTTCATCATGTTGGGATTCATATGTTGGCCCAATGTAACCAAATTTTATTCGCTTTACTATCCAAGGAAGTTAAGATTCTGATGTTGGCCAAATGCTTGTAATACGTACACCCTTAATGAAAATGTCAATCAAGTTGGAAGTAGTACGTTGGCCCAGTGTTGGCCCGATGTTAGCATGAGTATTTTTTTAAGTGCTTCAAGATGGGGTATTCATATTGGGCTAACGTTAGCCAAGCAATGTCTTCCTATCTGGGATACAGTTGTTTCTGTGGGTGGCTTTGTAGGTCTATCAATATTTTTTTCCAGCGACCGAGCTGCAGCTAAGCAAACCATCTGCATACCATAATTAGATTTCTTGAGCAGCGCCTTCTCCATCAGTAAAACATACATTGTACGATGAAGTAATACAATATTTAAGACACGCGGGTTACGTATTTTTTTTTACAATAGCTGCAACATTAATTATCATAATTATGACAATAACAAAGAAAACATTTTTATTTTTGTTTAAATATACGCGTACCGCTTAATTAAATTTTTCCCTGCAATGGTTGTGACCGCTAATCCTGCACTAACACACAAAGGCATTTTATTTTTTTGATATAAATGCCTTTATAAATAAATCTTCGTCCGAATATAAATTGATTATACTTTTTAAACTGCATTTATAAACAAGTATGAAAAGATAACGAACATATGGGATGCTGCTCGTCAGAACGTGAATGCTGACAGAACGTTCATTATAACACATTTTAATTTCAACATTGGAACACATTACTTATCACTTTAATTTATCATATAATAATGAAAAATATATTTATTCGGTTCCATTCCTGAACCGATCCTACGAGCGGTAGAGTGATTTTTAAAACACGCGCTTACTATTTATATATGGTCATGTCACGTGACAAAAAACCAAACAGATCCACCGCTCTATCCACACAAGAAATACTCCTAACGAAAATAATATAAATGGAGAAATTATTCTAAAAAGCGAAATATCGTCTGCAGCTTGCTCACGACCAGCTCGAGCTGTGCGGTTTACAAGAAACGGTTTATACGAAAAGCTGTACGTTATACCTATGAAAAAAAAATTATTCACCCAGGTTCATTCAAAGGTGTACTTGGGTTTACCCCGGGTTGTATTTCAGAAACTCTTCGGCATTTGGCCTCAGGGTGTATGGAACTCAACCCGTGGTAAATCCTAGTTCACCCTTTATTGAACCTGGATAACTAATAATACTGTGCAAATCTGAAGCAGGTGTTTAATTATCATGCAGTCTTGTATTTTTAATATATTCGATCAGTGCATATTATCTATTCAAGATATATTACTAAAGTCAGGTACTCTTCACACAATTGCTCCGACGAAAATAGTTCCATTCATGATCAGTATATACAAGATTACAACAAATGTTAAGAATAATGATGTATATTTAATACGTTAAAGAAAACAAAATTAACGTAAAAAGATTTTAAGAAAATCATCTTTTCCCCGGAAAAGCAAATAAAAAGTTTTCATATTCCTACGCTCGCTGCCTCCTCAGTCTTTTTCCCGAAAATATATCGGTCATACTTCGATTGATAATGATAAATCTTTTCACCAGTTATATTACTGTCATTATTATTGTTCGTTCATTGCCTTATAATTTCTTTTGAATGGATATGTTAATCATTAACTGTGTGTTTTTTTCTCTCTCTCTTTTAATGAATAACGGAATGGTTATTATGGTTAAACACCTGCAATCGTAACCTCTCGGCAAAGCGACGTAATGTTCCGAGCTCGTCTGAAAGGATCTTCGCACGTGTGTAGACCTAGGCTATTTGGTCTTGCAAGCTCAGGTGTGTGCACCGTTTGCTAGAGACGCTTAGATCACGTAGACTGGGTATCAGTATTTGCTACGGAAATGAAGAAGTTTAGAACTATACACCAGTTTCATAAGAAGTGCAGGTTTTTTACTCAAGCCCTAAATTGGGCTAGAGGGGCTGAGTTATCTAAACCGAGACTAGGTCATCGATCTACTCAGTTTAAAAACACGAAAATATACTATGTTTATCTTCAAAACATCTGTATATTCAAAATCTATATTAAGTGTTAAATGTCGGATTCTATCCTATGACGAAGGAATATTCAGTGATGCTCCATAGCCGCAACCGATCTCGCGCTTTCCTTTGCGTTTAACAACGGCCGTCAATGCATCTCTGGACAAGTTCATTGATTACAAGTTCATTCGTTCTAAAAGGTGACATGTTGACCATCTTTAACATCTGCCTATACTATGGGTGATAGTAATTTAATAGCACAAAAATTAAAAAATAAATTAAAATCTATCCTTGATAGATCTATAGTTTCGCTATTTAAAAAAAAAAGGGCTATCTTTGATAATCCATAACGGATTGAATTTGATTTGAATTTTTTTTTTTACAGAAGATTATATCATTGGAAAGTTAGATGGTACACATGTAGCACAGGCCCATATAGTACGCGGGATTTTTTTTCGGAGCCCCCCCCCCCCCTTCACTTTGAAAACGTTGCTACAGGCCTGTAACATGCTATTTGGTTTAAATATTCCTGAAAATGAACGAGGTGTTAAATACATTTTTAAAATTATACGATTAATTATATTTAGTCTATGTTCTATGTGAAATTAAAACTATTTTTAGCGACTTTGTGATAGTCACTACATGCATCTACATCTAACGTTATATATGAACATGCAGTTTGTTTCCTAGTACATGCATATTTTATTCAACAAAAGATGTTGAAACTCAGTAGCCTAAATATTTTGTCGTTTTAGGATATTTATGGCACTTTTATTATGACTTTCTACAGCTTGAGTATCGATTTGTCAGTAAATACTTGTTTTTTTATGAGAAATCATCTGAGCACAATGAAAATTCGAATAAATTAAAAGTCGAATATCTTGGATATGGGGTAACCCATATCTATTCTTGTTATCATGGAAGTAAATCTACACCCAGTACTAAAGAGCCATAGCGCATTTGATAGGCATTTTCGCCTACTCTTCTAGTGATTTCTTAAAAACATTTTTTAACCAAAATTTTGTCATACAGTCTTAGTTTATACATGCGTAAAACCAAATCACACAATAATGATATTTAAAAGTTAATAGTTCCCTCATATGATAACTTTGAAAATTATCCAGTTTGTATAGAGTATATAGTAAATATTGAGGTATCCACCTAACGATGACAAACTGTTCATTTTGTCATACAGTCTTAGTTTATACATGCGTAAAACCAAATCACACAATAATGATATTTAAAAGTTAATAGTTCCCTCATATGATAACTTTGAAAATTATCCAGTTTGTATAGAATATATAGTAAATATTGAGGTATCCACCTAACGATGACAAACTGTTGCCAAAGACCACCCTTAACCAGAAAAATAACTTTTGAATAATTTTATTTGGATATGTCTGCACTTCATTCCCTTTAGATAATTTTGGTTAAAGGTGGTCTTCATATTGAAAATGATGAAAATATGTATTAAATTTTTCTTCTCATATAATCGTAAGATTTAGCAATCTGTCTTAAATTTATCAACTTGGCATCATTGACTTCGTTGGCGCAGCGGTATGATTGCTGGAATGTAAATATGATGATTGCGAGTTCGAGCCCCACATTTTTCTATTTATGTTTTTTTTAATTTTTTTTCTTTGTGTATCTTTTCTACGTTTTTCTTTATTATGTTTTATAATATACACAATTTCAGAAAGTTATACTATACACATTACACTTTGAAAGTATCTCGGGAAAAGACAGTCCTTAACTATTTTATTTAAGTTTGCAAATTCATAGCAACTTGTTTTATTTTTATTGATTTTCTGCGTAAATCTTTTGTCTCAGAATTAGAGTATTGAACAAGTAAAATGATTGTCATTTGACATACTTGCAACTATGAAAATATAACACTCGTCCTCAAATCATATTACATAGTTTGCTCATGAGGTACAGTATATCTATAAATAGAAACAGGTGATTTCCTTTTAAATTCTTGAGTCGGCCGTGTCGTCGGTAAGGCAGCTATGGCTCTTTGCCCAATAGCTTCCCATAACAGTAATATTTCAAAAGATCTTACGCATGTCCAAGTTCGTGTACAATAGTGGATGCTGTGTCTAAACCCGAGTCCTGATTCACAGTGCATTTTCTATCAGTGTAACATACTCCACCCATAGTACCCAGACCGACATTCATTTTATCTCCATTTTTCTCAAGGTCCTTCCTGAAAAATTAAAAATTAAATTAAAAGATAATCATATTACATGTATACACTTATATATTTCTTTTTACTGATACGAATGAGTTGCGTGATTAAGTCTGGTTGTATTTTTCAGCATGCTTGTTGCTAACATCATTATCTTTATACATCGTAGATGTAGAAGGCATGCTAACAAAGAAAAGCACTGGGGACAATGTACTCGTGTGAGAGTGTTGTCAACCAAAATCGATGTTCCTACTCCGAAATATTCTTTAAATTGGAAGATTTTTCTAGAGAACTAAAAACATACCTAGCTGTATTATTCCTGAAATAAATAATCATTATTCACAAGAGGCCTCGAGGACTTAGAAACTCTCTTCTCTTCTGATAAATTGCATAACAGGCAAAAAATCAAAGTACTCAGAACTACAAATAGCCGAACATATTACTTTGTGAAGACAGTTGTACAACTTCAGAAATTGCATGGAAGAATATCCATAGCACAGAAAGATATTTCTATGGCATATAACATAAATTAACAAGAGGCCTAAAGGCCTTAAGGATCACCTGAGTATAATAAAACACTGTAAAGGATCCATAGAAGTATAAAACAAAATTAACAGATAGATGAAGCAATGTTGGTGAGAAGTTAAAAAATCTTGCTTATAGTAACGTGAGAGACCCGAGTGATTCACTTGTGATTGTACTTGGTTTTCCCAAGTCTTACAGGGATGATAATGATGCAAAATATACAAATACCATGGACACTTGCCAAGTGTGTAAGGTATTCAATATATACATATGTGTTTTTGTCACTTGCCTATTGCTACAATTAAGTACACAAAGAGGCACTTGGCTGTTTGCCACTTGTCACTAACTACAATATGTCCCCTAGTCACCCTGCCTCTCTGTGATCACTAGTTCGCTTTGATAAAGTTTAAACAACTTTATGCAGTCTCTTGGCAACCAACACTTTACCTGTCAATAATTCGTCAATTGTCAAACAGGACACCACAGTTCATTGGCCCTTTTGCTACATAAATAATCTTGATGTCAATCTTTAATACTGGTTTACAGGCAAGAATCTGGCTTTGAGCATGCTTTGCATTCAGCTTTATTTTGTTTCTCTCTCTCTCTCTCTATAACATTCTTGTATTTTCATTTAATCAAATAACCTATTAAATAAATTACACACAAGGATTTCTTGATTAAAATGATTTAGCAAAGGGAAGTAACTTTCATTTGCTTCACTTATTACAATTTTGTACTCTGTTTTGCCTCCAGATACCAAGAAGCAGAGAAAAGGCACATTTACTTATCATTATTTTTATACATTTACATTTATATTATTGGATTTGGTTTGTTTGCTTTACACACAGGGGCAGAGGAGAAGATTTTAAAAGCATTAATGCATTTTTGCTATATAATCACTAGAGCCCCGCCCAAACACCTGAACCCCTGACCCAGGGGCCATGAAATACAGAATTTCGGAATAGGCACCCTTGCTCACCATAATTATGCATTTAGTTTGTTTGTTTACCAAGAAGAAGAGGCGTACATTTTCAAAGCATTAATTCATTTTCAGTATAATACGTAAGCTCTCCCTAACAGAACCCCTAACCCTGGGGCCACATCTTTCACAATTTTGAAAGAGGCACATTTCCTCATTATAATCATGCACTTAATTATCGGCTTAATACTCAGGAGCCGAGGAGAAGATTTTCAAAGCATTAATGCACCTCACTATATAATCATTAGAGCCCCGCCCTAACACCAGAACCCCTGTCCCAGGGGCCATGAAATTAGCAAGTTTGAAAGAAGCACCTTTGCTCAACATAACTATATACTTAATGTACTTAATTAGTTTGTTTAATATCCAGGAGAAGAGAAGAACATTTTCGACGAAATAATGCACTTTCACCATATTATCTATATAGCCCTGCCCTAGCACCAGAACATCTGTCTCTAGGGCCATGAATTTCATAATTTTGGTAGAGGGCTTAATGCTTATTACAATCATGCCACCAGTCTGACTGCCTGATATCCAGGGGTAAAGACGAAGATTTCTAAAGACTGCACTAATTTTAGCGGCTTTGGTCCCATCCCTCAGGCCCACGGACCATGAAATTCACACTTTTTGTTCGACTTCACCCATAGATGTTATATGCTAAAATTGGTTGAAATTGGTTGAGAGGTTTCAGAGAAGCTGAAAATGTTCAAATGTTAACCCACATCACACGACGACGGATGAAACAAAATAGCAAAAGGTCACCTGAGTTTACACAAAAGTACTCTGAAGTTGATATTGAATTGATATTTGATATTTCTTCTTTGTCAACATTCATACAATTGTCGACTGACGTTTCTCATACTAATTGTTAGGCCATTAATTAAACACTTAATTGTCTACGAATTTTTTTTTTTTTTTTTGCCCGTTTGCCCGATCATGACAATGAGCACAAGGCGGGTGTGACAGGTCGACAGGGAATGCTTACTTCTCCATGGCACCAGATCCCACCTCTGATGTTTTAAGAGGTCCCGATTTGTATTGTTTCAATGGCTTTTTGAGCTTGATTACTGTTCGTTATCCCCATATTTCATGAAGTCTTTGGAGAAAAGGTCTTCCTACAAATTGTTGGAATTCCCATGAACTTTAATTGTACTTTTTTATATTCCTATGAAGATTTTATTCAAAAACTTCTACATGAGAAGAAGAAAATACTTGCTGTGGCCTCGACATTCAGATATATAGCTGACGTTTCATCAGTTAAAAATATTTTACTTCCATTCATATATGTCGACTTCATATATCCCTGTGAACTTGAAATAAAAGACATCTACCATGCACTTGCATATGGTGTTTACGTCTCCCAACTTATTAGAAACTCAAGAACATGCTCTGGGTACGATCATATTTTAAACCAAGGGATTTCAACAACCTCATTTTAAGTAAGCTTTTCGTAAATTCTATGGTGGTTATTATGACCTCGTTAATAAATATATCCTATCACTGGGTCATGTTTTCCTATCACTTGATCATGTTTCACACAATTGTTAGGCTTTGTGTTCATACTTAATTTGACTAAAGAATGTTCCGTATACATGTACCTGATCAATACATAGGGCTCAATGCAGGTGTGACAAATTATAGAGGGATGCTTACTCCTCCTAGGCACCTGATCCCACCTCTGAACTTTCTGGAGGTTCATGTTTTATGCCCTTTACAAATTTGTAAAGTTTGTAGATTTTTTGAGATCGATTACTGTTCGTTATATTTACCTTTTTTATAAGATTACCCTTGTAGAATTAAATCAAAGTTTCTTTAAATAATGAGCCAGCCCTTAAAACAAAGACTATGTTGTTACATGTAGCTAAGTAGCTTGAAAATACGGATATACATTTAACTGCTGCGGTAAAATTTAGAAATTTATTTCAAAATGAAGGATTATCTCCCTCATACATAGCTCTGATCCTTTGACGTATTTGACTCCAGTCTTTGGCACCCCCTTTTTCAGCTCTTCGAAGTTGTTTTTAATTCAAATATTTCGGATTTCCAACGTTTTGGCATGAGATCACCGAAGAGACATAATTTGTCGAAATGCGCGTCTGGTGCACGGAAATCGGTACCGTATAAGATTTACATTATGACCCCTGGGTCGAGGCCTTTGCTGGTGGTCTGTTAGTCTCCGAGGGTCTTTACAGCCCAATAGCTAAGCACTTCGGTACTAGCTTGAAAATACGGATATATATTTAATTGCTGTGGTAAAATTTAGAAATTTATTTCCAAATTAAGGATTATCTCTATCATGCAAAACTCTGATCCTTCGACGTATATGGCTCCAGTCTTTGGCACCCCCTTTTTTTAGCTCTTCATTTTTTTTTATTTCAATATTTCGGATTTCCAACGTTTCGGCATGAGCATCACTGTCGAAATGCGCATCTGGTGCATCAAAATTGGCACCGTATGAGACTTACATGTACCTGCTTTGTAAGCTGGGACAGGAACATATTGATTGTGTAATCTATTTAAGTCTTTGTTTCAGTTCTGAATTACTGAAGATAAAAGGATATATTGTATTCAGATTGCCTCTCAATCGTTTAACACAGGATTTCATTATCTATCTTATACTTTTAATTCGTTCTGACAGTATCAAAGTCTTCTTTTTCATATCTTCAACAGAATTCACAATTTTCTCGAAATTCAGGCGCCAGCTGAAAGATCAAGGATCCCTAAATCTTGACTCTCTTAAAATAATGATTTAAAGTACTCGCTGTTAACTATATTCACTTCACCGGTAATGACGTGTGCTGCAGGACTATACAGTAGTTGTAGGGGGAAGAAGAACATGAACTTGTAGGAGGATTATGTTTCAGATGTTCGATATTTTGGAAGCAATAGTCAATATTTGTAAGAAATACAAGGTGTGGACTGCAATGAAATAGCGGGATACAGGACTGGGCCCTTTTGTAATGAAGAATATTACAAATGTTTACGGCGGTCAATTCCTTTGTTGGCAACTTTCAGTTTCAGAAACAGATTTCTTTAGAATTCCCGTTCTTTCGTTAAACGTGGCGGCTTAAAAAGAGATTATGATTTGCAATACCTATTATCACATAATCCAGTCTGTATTCTTGTTTTGAAGAATCCAAGTATCGACTTTTAAGGCCTTTTCATATAGACCATACAAAACTTTCAAAAGAAAAGAGTGATGTAGATGTGATGCAGACCTTCATTTTTAAAAATATATGGGCCAGCGCCGCGGGAATTTCATCGACATCATAAGCAAGTTTTTTTTTAACTTGCATAGTTGGTCGAACGATTTAGCCCGCTGTTTCTATACTATTAAAATCCAGGTTCCACAGGTCGAGTTTAACCCCATGTTGGAGCGGTAATGGGTGTCCCTGAATTGTAAATTTCTCTGTGCTTTAATTTCTACAATTTTTTTTTTCATTTAGAACAGCTATGTTTGTTAAGTAGTCCATTGTAAATACATGTATGTTTTAAAATATTAAAAATAATATCTATACAAAGTGTATTGGTATGGATCCTCTATTAGAACAAATTTTCAATGCTTAATAGCTGCATGCATCTCACTTCCATTCTCGATGACCGTGTATTGTAGGGCAGTGCCACAAGAATTCAATTGCCATCGAAAGCAAGTTTTTTTTGTCACTTGCCTAGTTGTCAAATGGTTAAGCACGCTGTTCAGACACTGCCAGAGAAAGGGTTTCGCAGGTCGAGAGTTTGACGACGAGTTGGGGCGGTAGTGGATATCCTTATAGTGTGAATTTTATGTATTTTATGCAGTGTATATATATATATATATATATATATATATATATATATATATATATATATATATATATATATATATATATATATATGGGTGGGTGAGTGTGTTTGTGTGTGAGTTTGGTTCTTGAAATTCTAGCCGTAAAAGGTAAAACACACCGCACAATTATCCATAGCATTAGCTCTTTGAGCCTTGGGCTCGGAAGAACTGATGAAATAATGAAAAACTTGCAGTTTAATATATACCATGGATATTGCATTATTTTTTCTTGCCACTGATTGTTCTTTACCAATTGAATTCTATTTTTTCCAAAATGTTCATTAAGAATACAGTGTACGTACTTTGTGATAAGAATGGACACGTCTGGGTATTTAGAATCAGATTCGTCATTTGGTTCGTGATTTTTCTGCCACTGGCAAAATGTTTCCAAGAGGTCCCCGGAGTCTGCTACGATCTTTAGGTCAGACTGTTATACAACATAGAAAACATGAAAAGGTATTAAATGAGCTGAAGAATTATATAATATGACTGTTCTTGGTCCCTTCTGGATAGCAGTAATGGATCTATATCTGAAACACATCAAAACAGAACTAATAGTTTTGTTCACAACTTTAATAGCTGAATTGACAGGAAATCGACCTTGAATATGAAATAACTGCACAGTGTAGGCTAACTCATAAGACTCATTATTTCAGTCACTCGGGATTGCGTTTTTATTTTTCATTCCACTTTTCTGTTGAAGTAGGACATTTTAACAGTTTTGAAATAATTTTACGACAACAATAGTTATGTACTAATTCAGTATGTAATTCAGTTATCAGTATATGATTTGCCGAAATAATTAGCCCGGAAGTAAAGCTGTGAAAAGTAATGAGAGTATTGTTAGACATGCTGTTTTGTTTATTATAAATGCCTCAGAATTACACAAAGACAGTTTTTCAGAAGAGATATGTTTTTCTGTTGTTCCTGATTTAAATATATATTAAAGCATTGAACTGTCCTTAATGTCACATCCTACTTCTCCTATTTCAAATCAATATCTCACATTTACTTCATGCTGAAATTCGAAAGTCCTTTTCTATTGCATCAGCAAATACTGCAAATATATGAAGACCTTAAAAAGCACCTATACTTCTTATCGTCCACAACAATTACGGTATAGATATGCAGTAGGATTGTCCGTCCCTACTGCTGAAAAGTTTCTGGTGTTTTTAGAGTATATCAAAAAGGGTTAAATGTAAGTTGAAATTCAGTTATCAGTCATTTTATTTTTCCCCCAAAAGAATATGTCATTCATAGACAATTATACGCATCAAACAGTCAAACGATTTCCGCATTAGAAGATAATTGATGGCGTTTACTTGAGGGTATAACATGTCTGAAGGAAGAAAAATGCAGAAAAATACATGCGTTACCATATCTTCCTTTAAAATCGTGATATCCACCAGGGCTACATAGAGTTTACTATCGCCCAGTGAAGGATCCAAAAAAATCCTTGCTGCCTGAAAATGTAAAATTAATCATCAGTTAATTCAGATAAGTTCCCACTTAACCGCTTTCGATAAGCAATTTTTAAAACATATTTTCTTCTTTGAGTTTTATTGAACAGATGAGAGAAAATCTATAATTATTACAGAAATGGCTGAGAGTGTCTTTACTAAAACATTCCATTACAGAAAAACCATTTCATTATAGATGACCGGTCAGGATAGCGTTTGCTTCGTGATCGGGAAACCCGGGTTAGCGTCTCGTTTGCCGCGCCGCTTCAAACCTAAGACGTAAACATATTAGGTAGTGACTGTTTCTTCTCCAAGAATCCGGCATTAGAAGTGAAGTCACGGGTCTTTCGGATGAGACTTTGAAAATCTGGTGTCACGGTAGGCCTTGGCACGTACGATAAAGAAAATTCACTATTCAATGGCTCAGAGTGCCAAGTATACGACCCCTTTACCTGTCATTAATGACGTCTCCATACGAGGAAAAATTTGTCGAATGGGACGTAAATCAATATACAATCAATCAATCACTATTGATGTTTCTAAATATAAAAACGAATATGAATCTGAAAAATTAATGAATATGAAACGAATATGAATCCGAGAAATCTCGATCCCGCGTTGAAAACGGAAAAAAATCGCTGTATTTTTCAGTCTCCATCTTCTCATGCTTGATAATATATTTGTACCACATCTTTTTAAAAAGTCTTCGGAGATTTTCATTGAAATATAAGATGAAAATGACAAATTCCAAAATATAAAGGTTTCTTTCATTTCTTGCTTAATTTCCTTGCAAGTTGAAGAATATAGCCTCTTAGAATAATAAATATTTCTTGTCTCGTAAATCCTACAGATTATTTTCCTTTTTTCCCCCTAGGCTACTCATATCTTCATTTTTCAATCAATTACTACGAAAGAAGGATCAAATAAAATCTAATTAGTTGAACAAAGAACATAACAATACCGACATATTCTCTACATTAAAGAAACTTACAATGTGTTATGTACAGGTCCGGGGGGGGGGGGGGTAAAAATGAACAAAATATTCCCTGACAGGTCGAGTTCACAGGTGCGGATCATCACTCCGTGTCTCGTTTGATCTGATGATCCACGTCTGCCATGGAGACGTGATCTGGTTCTTCGGGACAAATTCCCATTAATTTATTAGCAAAAGGGATCAATAACACAACGTTTAACAAAAAGACATTTTGATAAAACGTCATATTTACTGTGATCTTCTTCATCATTTTCATTGTGGTGATATGATAACACTTGGAAATTCAGTTCTTCCCCAAAGAACAATAAGGATACAGTCAGTTTCCATTTTTGTCAGGATTATTATTAAAGTGTATAGATATTTCTGGTAATCATAGCTAAAACGTGAAGGATATTTAGTGATCATAAAGCAGTGCTTTTGACGATGATTGAAAGACATAGAATATTTGCTTTGTAATCATAAAACAGCACTTTTAATGATTATTGAAAGACGGAAAACATATACTGTCTGCGCTACGAAACTCCTTAGAATTTGTTGAAAATAATCAATAAATGCACAGAAATAAACCCAACATTATACATTTCGTCGTTTATATACATTCGGCACACCGAGAGAGAGAAAAAAAGGAGCGAACTCTCACGAAATTTTCATCGATATGGTTTTGCCATCGAACATTGATATAACATAAGCCTAACCTTTTGTTTTAGAAAATGCACCCGTAAAACTCATTGAAAATTACCCGACTTTCCACTTCTTAACACTTGCTCTGTATACACCTTAGCTGCAATAATGCAGCCCTCACCGATTTTTTTTAATCTGATATTTTCAGGAGAGGGCTACAATTCCACTGCATCTCCGTAATGGTGCAAATTTATATTTTAGATACGAACGACTGCAGGCAAAATAAATTGTTTTTACATACAACTTACTTCCAGTAAGACGGAATTTTTATTCACTATCAACATCATAGCCCTTTATAAGCGAAAACCAAGTAAAAAAAATCTACGTGTTTACCAGTCGTTCTCCTCAGCAGCCATGACAGTTCTCGCGTGATGTACTGAGACTTGCGTTTGAATTTTAGAATCACTTGATAACGCAAATGTCGGTGTTGACAAATGATTGTGTAGTATGGTACCACTAAACTTCGATAAATAAAAGCATTCCATGTGACATTTTTTTCATAAACAGTGATATTTATGCTTAAAATAAGGGAAATCCTGTAAGATCCGCTCCCCTTGATCCCGAATTCTCATTGGTTGTCCAAAAATAAAATCGATCAAGGTCAGTAAACATGGCGGATAAATTCAAGTTGTGATGTTGACATACACGAAAAATAACCGATATACGGATTGTTCTGTATATTTTAGTATCAATTCATGTCTTGCATAACTACATTTTAAGAGTTCAGGTAAGATATGTTAATAAAATACCCACTTACTGATAATTTGAGCCGAAATCTGTGCGGTAGTGAATCATTCCCGCACTTGCACCATTACGGAGATCCTAAGGAGTTGTAGCCCTCTCCAAAAAAAAAAAACAAAAACAACAAAATCGGAGAGGGCTACATTATTGCAGCTATAGACACCTGTACATGTATGTCGGGCAATTGAACAGCTCGTTGTTATAAGAATTTATAAATGTCACCGCCCACTTACAGTGCAAGATATTGGTGAAATTGTAATTACAATTGCCAGTCATAGAAAAGTCAAATTTTATGTTTTACAAATAACGTCAACAGGCTAAAGAAAAGAAAATATCAATGCCAATACCTTCATCTTTCTATGAACTGATATGAAAAAGACAACATTACCATACTGAGAAGGATAACATTTTATTTTAAGGGTAAGGATAAACAGCATCAAGTGTAAAAACGTAGTGAAGTGATTCTGATTTTTCCAGATCGAGGGCTGATTGAAGACTGTTGACACAAAATCAGCAACAGTTCAATTCGATAGTAAAATGATATGAACACTATGACAACATTACTATCAAAGGAACATGCTATTTTATTTTACTGAAAGGATAAACAAATTTAAGTGTAAACTACGTGTAGTAGAATGATTTTTGCAGATCAAGGACATGGCATTATTCCTATGTACATGTAGGTCTTCAACACTGTTAACACTTTATCAACAAAAATTCTATTCGACAGTAAGCATTAAGGACATACGCAACGTAGTTTGAACTTTGTCTTTTTCCCTGGAGTTGAAGAGTTCCAGTACTTAAAGGAACTGTGTGCAACATTGTAATGTCCATATATGCTGTTGTACTCTTCTTCTAAAACAAGTTTGGATAAAAAAGCCATCTGGAATATATGTTTAGCAATTTTTGTATATTTTTCTTTGAATTATACAAGAGTTTTCATTAATTGATATCTTTTCAAAACCCATGGTAATGCATGCTGATTTTTTGTCTACAAACATTTGATGGCACTATAATATTAAATTAAGAATATCTTGAAAAATTATCAGTAGGTATGGTATGTTGCGTACGTCCTTAACTGGATTTTTATACATTATTGTTTCTTTTCATACATTCCTGTTTGTTTAAGTTCAGTAATCATCGGATAAGAGAGGTAAGTTTCACTGGGATATATCATTTCTTTTTAAAATTGTCATGAAAATAGGTCATTTCTGACAATTTTTGCCCGGCAAGGTATGCTGATTTTGTTTGCATTTTATTCTGAAATTGTTTGCATTTTAATTAAAACTCAGATTTCATTTAGAGAACCACCAGCCTTAAGCAAAATTTAAAATGAATGAACAGGAGGATGATGGATCTTAAATAGCTGAAAGGGTTTACCATGTTCATTATCGTTGTTACAAATCTTGTCGTGTCGCTGCCATGGAAAAGCTGACTATCATGCGCAACCACAACTTTAGTTTCCAAATATCGTCTTGGGGATCGCTTTACGATCAATTTGTCTTCATCTAGAAACAAATATTATCTGTTTCCTTAGAATGGAATTGCAAAATGACGTTAACATAAATTTCAAAATAGAAGATTCGAATTTTTTCTGGCAATTATCGTCAGATATTGTTTAAATTTCTGTAAATACTTTCGATATTTTTCATCTCATAGGAGCATGTGGTGTTTTGTACGAAAATCCTTCGATTACCCCAGGGAGAAATTAAATAGCAGATCATCTGTCTTACGTCAAAGGAAGGGATTGACTCTTTTATTTTCATTTACAGTTCAATAATCATCCACATGTTTCAAATAAGATACATTTGTTTCAGTATTTTTTAGAAACGAGTATCTAATATTGTAAACAAAGATGTTATCCTTTTATTGTAGTAGGTAAACAAATCGGCGACATCTGCCGCTTATGTACAATACATACCCGAAAAATCGTTCCCTCGCTGTATTGAGCGCCTCACCACCAAGTGATCATCTTCACCTGAAACACGACTTTTGTGGGTACTCAGCAAAGGTTGAATGTATAAATCGTGGTCTGGTGTACTTATAACGCCATGCTAAAAATATACAATCCTTCTGTATTTTTTAAATTTTTTTTAAATTAAAATATATATATCAATCATTTATATAATTTCCCACAATCTGAAATTAAAAGATTAAAGTTAACGTTGTTAACAATCGATAAAATTTTTTTTTTTTTTTAGTGTTTACGTGTACCTTATTTTTATTTTAGATATTTTGATTCTACTTACTATTTTCGTTAAAAAAATAAACTTTCATGTCTTTCTTTGAGTTTGACCCTATTTTGATCAAATAATCAGGAAATCATACATTTTATTATTGAATACACTTTTTCCCCAAAAAGGACTTACTTTCTATTAAAAAATCAAAGTATGCAAGATTTAAAAATTGCAATTCAACTTTTCCAATCAAAATGTAGAAGACAAAATGCATAGAATTTCTTTATTTTTCCTTTTTGTATTTAAAATGTGGCCTCTGAATTAGAAACTTTTTTCTGCATATAAGCAGCATAAAACTACCAAAAAATAGGATATCCATTGCGAAACAAAATTGGCAGGTCTTTTTTTAAATTTTTTTTTAAAAAATATTATTTGCCAGTATTAAAAATAAATTAGAGAAGTAGAGATTAAACAATCGATTTGTTTGAAATTAAGGTTGGAATTCATATTTTTTCGAATTCTTTATACTGAATTAGTTTGTCGAGGTGATCTAAACCACCCTCGTATGTCAGAGTCCAGTAAAATGGCGCAACCTCTATCCACTACAATTTGTAAACCATCTTAGCAATTGAGGACAATTGATCAGTTTTTGTACTATTAGATATGATAGCTGTTTTTCAAGAATTAAATAAGTTTCTACCCTTGCTTTGGGGGAGGGGGGGGGGTATTCTTGGATGGGTAAGGTTTGATACTGCTTGGAGAGAACGTCTTTGGTGTAAACTCTTCGGAATTGTAAACAATGTTTTATATTCATTACCAATTTGTTTATCATTAAATGCAAATATGTTCAATGGTAGTTGACCTCTATAAAGAAACCAAAAGGTTTTACATTCGATTTTATTTTTAAATGATGAACTGCACTGACAAAAAGTAAACATATATGTATGCTTTTAAATAATTCGTCTGAATAGATTTGGGTGTTTTAGCTGTTTTTTTTAATGTTATATAATACTGAATGACGTTTTTCACACTATTGTTAGGACAGGATATTCGTCGACGGATATTTCCGTTATTTACCGATCATGACGGTCGGCAGGGGATGCTCACTCCTCCATGGCACCTGATCCCACCTCTGATGTTTTTGGAGGTCCGTGTTTGCTCTGCTCCCGATTTGTATTGTTTTAATGGACTTTGAGCTTGAATACTATTCGTTATCTCCATTTTTCATGCTTACTGCTCACTTACTGCACCCTATTTTCCATATTTCCGTTTTGCCAGACTAAAACCTTTACAGGTTGAAATAGAAAGGTTTAACAAAAACGGCAAGAAGTTTAATACTCAACATTGACATACAAATCGTTTGATGTCGTAGGGGTCGGGACTTGAATGATTCCCAAAAATTATTCCACGAGTTTAATTATAAACAATATGAATTATCGTATCTTTTTGATAAGCTCGAAAAAGCTTCTCGAAAAGCCAAAAAATATTAAAAAGGCTATGAATGCAGTTAGATAACAGGATTTTCCACTGTAAAATTTATTGTTCTGTTTAAGGGTTTGAAGTGCGAAAATTTACTTAAGTTACTCACCAATCCATCGCAGACACTGACGGCGACAACAGAACCTGGATGAGACTCCGAACGTCCAATGTAGTGACAATTTTCTCCCCCAACGGTACATGGGACACTCTCCTTACTTCCATTTGAGTATATTTGGTTAACTAAACAATCTGCAAAAAGAGGGGTTTTTTTCTATTTAAGCAACCTTTATTGTCTCTGCAAACTAATCCAAGAGAGGTAAGATGTAGTACATATTAATTTTCCAAGTTTTACTGGGTTCAATTTAGCAAGAAAAGGAAATACTAGGATAAAATTCTTGAACCTTACTAGAACATTTATGCAGCTCTTGTGTCGCCTGCAAGGCGGTGTCTATTGTCTAATTGTCTGTCCACCTGTTTGTCACACCATATATTTTAAAAACTGTGAGAGGTCGGATTTGATATTTTACTCATGCATTGCTTAACACAAAGGAAAAATACTGTTTCTTGTAAATGTTACACAATTTTTTTTTATATAAAAACTCAAAACAGAAAAATATTACATGAGAGATTGACTAAGGAAATCGTCTTTGTAGGCAAAGCAAGGAAATCTCTATACACTGAATGATTCAATAGTGTCCAGTGCACAGGATATTGTCTTGTGCATGTTTAAAATATGCATTATGTAACGAAGTAAAATGTACCACTTAACTTCTTCCAAATTCGGGTAGATGCAAATGTTGTGCAAAAGTGAAGAAAGGAAAGCCTAGCATAAATAGAGGATATTCAATGTTTTGTAGATGAATATGGAATTTATTTCACGAGTGGGACAGGATTTTTTGATATTTTCACGAGTGCGAAGCACGAGTGAAAATATAAATAAAATCCTGTCTCACGAGTGAAATAAATTCCATATTCATCTACAAAAACATTGAATTTTCTGTTTATTACATTTTCTTTGATTTTCCCTTTGCCTCTGTCTTTTCTTAACACAGTGTCATAGGATTGACGTCATAGTTGAGCGGTTGAGACGTCATAGCTTAGAAGTTGTGTGATTGAAAACATTACATAGCAAGGATTTCAGCAACATATTTGGGAAGAAATTTGCAGTTTTAGCTCTATCAAGATGCTTAGTTACTAAATCTATCTTATGACAGGCCAGAAATTATTTTTTACTTACTTTGATATCCTTTCACACTGTGAGAGAATATTATTTTTGGTATCCTTTCACACTGTGAGAGAATATCACTTTTATTCAATAAATAAATCACAGTATTTCACTGTTGAAAACGTAATAATATGTCTTATCCCTTCTTCAAATTACTGATAGAACTTTCGTGGACGTTTTTATATACCCAAGTGAATATACAATCCTTTTCTTTTATTTCCTTTGTTAACGATTTATTTTAAATTGAAATATTTATTAGCTATTTTCCACTCTAACTTGTTTTAAGATGAACCTATAACATTCAGTTAACTGACATTTTACTAAAAAGTTACTGAATGACAGAGCTCTGTCATTCAGCCACCTTTCCAGACCTTTCAGTGACCAATCAGTTGACCGAAAGGCGCAGTTATATCAAGTTTAGAAATAAATAATAGCAGATACAGCTCTTATTCCTGATGCAAGTTAAAAGGGTGTTGTACCTCCAAGTTAAAAAAATTACTAGAACTAATTACTAATTAAGTGATTAATTATGACTGTTTTCACTTTAATTGTTCATTTTAGCTTTGAGGTTTGTTAAATGATATTCGTATTTAATTTTTACAGGAATTCACTGAATCATAAGTACACATTTGACAGGAATTTTTGCCGAATTGGAATTTATTCTGAATACTTTCTTGATATTAGTAAATTACTAGTATTTAAATGTTTTTGTAAAAAACTCTTACGTCATTTTTTCTCCTTTAATATCTATGGAATAATAGAAATGTTGGTTTAAATATCATATCATTAAACTCACGATAGAGCATTTCTTGTAGCATTTATTGACGTTTCTAATTGAACATATTGGCTTTATTAAAACAAAAAATATAATTATGAATTTATTCCATACAATATACGCATGCCCACTGGCTGTATTATTACTTGGCGAAAGCATATATTTCATTTCCAATATCTCACATCCAATGGAAGAACAAAGGTCGTAATAATTTAATATTATCTTTGTGAAGCTATAGTCAAGGTTATTATTGAATGTACACCGAATCAGCTACCCCGTTATGTTTTAAGTAGAAGACGCCAGTTTCTTAATCCTAATAACGCCTTGTTTATGTGAACATGTTTTTCAACATTATGGATTTTAAAACCCAGAGAGAAAGGTTACAAAAGATACAAGATCCTTAGGCATAAGAGTGTTGTTTACCGGGTGATATGAGATTCCTGTTCTCTGTTAGGTACAGTTGATACTCTTGACCGAACGCTTTCAGCGTGATGTTTCGAGACTCCGTCCTTGTCCCCTGTTCCTGAATTGACTGCACAGGTATGAAGTCATAATCTGGAACTGAGATGGAAACATGCATGTAGTTTGCTTCTGAAAACAAACACGATTCGACATTCCTACATGTAGGACAAGGATACACATTGAACATTTAAGTGACTGTTTAATCCCCTTTAAATAGACAGTAGCAAGTAAAATTGATGCAAAGCATCAAATCGGCCGCAAACAAAATTTACTATTTTAAAAATGTACTTTCATAAGTAAGCATTCAAGGAAAGCATGAGATATTCAAAGCTGAAAGAACATTTTTACTTCAAGCAGTTTTCCAAGCAAAAAAAAAGATAAAAAGAAATTTCAGTGCATTCGTTCATCAGGTTGATTCTTTGATTTGAAAATCATTGATAAACGATAATGTTTCGTCATCAAAATAGGATGTAGGCCTATTTATCCAGATCTCCAGATGAACCATGTACTGATACCCTTGATCTTTGTCACGTGATGAAGTTCATGGTTTCTGCTGACTATGCTGCACTGGGGTGATGAACAACACAATAAATGCAAGGAGTGGAAAACAATATTATTGTGTCACAATTAAAACATTTTTTACAAGTATTGCCAACTTGAATTTTTTTATTCATCGCCTTTACCACTAGGGCTGCCCAGGACGATATATCGATCATATCGATTCTGTGTGAGGACGATACTAGTACGCATATCGATAGATATGAAGAAATATCGAAATATCGCCCCAAAATTTCTGACTTATGTTTTTCTTTCTTTACGTAAAATTTTGGGTTTAATATATCAAATAAATAAGCTAAATAAGTAAAAAATAAGCTCATTATGAAATACATACTGATTAACACCACTTGTGTTAAATAATTTCGTTTTACAACAGATATACAACTTTTTTAAAAATAAATTATTCTTATTTGTGAAGAAATGTTTTGTTCAATTCAATACAAAAAAAAATTATAACCCATTCAACATATCATGGCTCAAATATCGTGATACATATCGATACAGAAAAAGTCGTATCGTCCCAGCCCTACTTACCACATTCATGATAACAAATTGCATTCATATCTTACACACTCCCATTATGGGAAGTGCTTTTTGTAAACCCTTTAATATAATCATAAAATAATAATTATCTGATGAGAAATCAAAATTTAAAAAAAATGAAACAAATCAACGATTAAGACTTAATTTAAAGCAAGATTAAAAAAATAGTTTACCCATATTTTTATACGTTATCATTATTCATAATTATTTTTATTACCGAACTAGTAAAGAGATAACGCCTCACTTCCCCGTTTGCACTTTGTAACACAACCACAAAAAGATCGGCCGCTCCTGCGGCCGATAATAAGGTAAAAACTGAAAAGGTGACGTGTTTTTTTCTCTCAAATCTACGATAGGTCGTATAACAATGCATCATTTTCACACAGTTTTGTGGGGTGCTTGTTTTTCACTTTCTAAATATTTTTCTTACTCTTTTTAAGGTGGTAGTTCTTATTGCTTCTAATCCGTCATTAAAATAGGATTCCAACATAAAAATGCTGTCAGTATAAAAAAAAACAAAACTTATGAAAGAAATTTAATTGACAGTCTTACCTTGTTTCAATAATGTGGTTCCAAAGTAATGAGACAGTTCTTCCTCGCTTAGAGTGAAGTGAAACTGAAATATGAATATCAGTGATGAAAATTGGATTTATTTCTGGTCTTTTGTTTTGAAAAAATCTCTGTTTTAGCTTAGACAGAGTACAATGTTGGAGAAATATTAACATTGATCAAATGTAGAATATTACTCTTGCAAAGACTAGTACATGAACTTATTTCCAATAAGTACGAGGGATGTTTACTGGAATTATTATCGTAACATACTTTATTGCTGCTAAAACAGTGTTGAAAAAGTTACTTTTTTATAGTCTCGTGCAAAAATACTACACTTTCCTTATTTTCATCAGAAAGTGTTTACACAGACCTATATTACGAGTGCAAACGAAAAGCAACACATGTAGCCATGCTTTTCCTTTAGACGATTTATCACGACACGACCAAAATAAAAGATTTATCTTGATTTGCAGTATCATTGTCCCCGATGTTTTGGTGCTTGAGGATTAAATAAAGGGCGTGTCTAAGGCGCAATCTTGCTTGAACACGTAATAGAAATTGATCTTGATCGTGCATGACATCATCCAAATTACAAAATTTATAGTTGGTAATGTAGATGATTATTTTTGAAAATGGCCCCCTGTAAATTCCAATCCCTGGGTCACGATAAACTATACCTTTATTCAGAATATTTAAGATCTTCATGGTTTCTAAGAGCAAGTGATGCCCTGTTATTTAATTGGAATGTAATTTAACTTTCAAAAGGCGAATCAAGATAAAAAGACCCCAAGAATGCGTTAACTAATAAAACATATATATCTAAATATAGTTTTAGTTTTCATTCAGAAGAATAAATGTAAGAGATTAAACAAACAACATACTTTTAAGCACCGTGTCTCTAGAAAGGCAGGCATGTTAAGATGCTTGATTTGTTTGTATTCATCAAATCATCTGAGAGAAAACAAACAACGATATCTAACGCGTCACCAGGAACACATCATATTTACGTGTTGTTAATGAACGCGTGTTCTGTTCTACGTGGGTGTAATTTATTTCAATTTCATTAATACTTCATCGATATAATTGTCTTTCTTGAATTTGGACTTTAAATTTCTAGAATGTTATTTCTCGCATTGGCAAAAACTCAAGGAGTTTGGTGGTAACTAGAGACATGGTGTCGCAACATAAAAACCGTTTTCAGTAAAATAATGTATCAATCTATTAAAAAAAAAATTCTTTGCATTTTTTTTTTTGATGGACGGAAAGGATTTTAAAGTATGATAATGGATTGTCATTAATTGTAAATTCAACGAACACTATATACCAAATGTTGACATTAGCAGCATACTGAAAGTCTAGATTCATCTCATTATATTCGCTGCATAAAACTTTTTTTTTTTAATTCGGCGTTTTAATTTACATGTTGAATGAGTTTGTTTCGAAAAAAAAACTTATTCCTACTTTTTCTTCTCATCAAAAATATTTTTTGTGGTATTCCAATACCAGATATTAAATCTTGATCAGCGTTAGTGCAACATGTTGATGTGATAGAAAAGTGAAAGTTTGCCTGGGATGTCAATCCTAAAGGACAATCTTTTTTTTTTTCTTTCTCAAAATTGTTTAAAGCAATATTTGTTCACCTCGTGATAAGTAATCTGTTCTTTATATTTTGACGTGGTATGCATTAACCTTAGCTTGCAATTCTTGCGAGTTATATATGCTGTCCAACTGCATGAAAGCTTTATAAATTGTCAATTACTTAAGAGAAACAAAATTGTCTTTTTTTAAAAAGTCGATTGTGCCTCATCTATAAATAGAAACATTCTTTGGAAGTTAACTTTGGGATGCACAGCATTCGGCAGATGTATGGAAATTGAATCCTAATTTTATTCTGAGAAAATTCTAAGCTAAATGACTGCACTGGATAAATTGCGTTTTTGTCCCTTGAAAGAGAGGCACTCTTTACATTAAAATATTTGTTTCACATATCCAGTCTGAAGTATGGGATTCAATGACACGGAAAAAATAGATCTATTTTGTCAATCCCCTTTCACAATCCTAAGAAAGACGTCTTTCTGTTATTCTCATTGCAACGAAGTCTGTTTTATCACATCCCAGTCTGTAATTTGTTTCATTTTCACTGATCAGTCTTAAATTTACATACATATTAGTAACTGGTTAAAATCGCCAATAGTGAATACCCTACTGTTTCCATCGTGCGAACATCGAAGCTTTTGCATTAGGCAAGGCATTGGCTCCTTAATTAAGTCATTGTTTCGAACTTAAAAACAGCAATAATTGTATATTGTCTGAATGACAACGAAGGGTACAGCGATCATTAGTTATAATTCAAATAGACCGGTTAGGTTTATAGTTTATCAAACATTAATCATACCAGAAGTGAGTAAAATTTACCTAATCTGCACATTGCAATATGGGAATAAACATATGTCCCATAATGCAACAAAACACCATCTGTTCATGAGACATATAGCACAAGATAATGTACCAATCTATTACGATTCAATTATAATAAAAATTAACATTCACTAAATTTGGAGGGAGAAAAGTTGACAGCGAAACTTATCAGGATTATGAACGCAATATCAGCATAGATAAACATATTAGCGAGCACAGCGAGCGCCGCTCGTCACTGCGAGCTCTTAAAGCAACGCCTGGGCGAAGAGAAAATTCGGACTTTGCACATTGATCCAAACGAATTTTTTTCCGCAGTTACATGTGGTCCCATAATGCTTTGTAAATTGCATCTCGCCGCAAACAACGTTCTCGCGGTAACAAGAAGTTCCAAGAAAACGTCACGTGCGATTTTGAAGAGTCCGATCTAAATAAAACTGAATAATTATGCCTCTCCGACAAGCGAAAACAACCTCGAATGTGTTATGCAAGCGTCCATGACATGTCCCTTTTTTATATAGAGACCTCTTATCTGTAGAGTCTGGAGTTTAATTTCATTGAATGTAAAGATGTTACATGTACCTAAAATATAACACAGAGAGGAAAAATAAACTATGTCTATCCAATACTTTAATTTATTGGAATAGACCCCCCTTTTTTTTTAATTTATCAACTGGTGATGTAAATACATTCGAAGTAATTTTCCAGCTTGCGGGAAAGGCACAAGAAAATGCAATTAGGTATTTTTATAAGTTTATACCAGCTAATTCGTTCTTAAATATTGTGGATCATATGGTACGTGTTCGAGGAATTTCGAATTGAAACTAGAATGAAACATCTTAATTTCCATTACACACTCTAATGCAATCGAATATACTTATTGTCTGTTCTATTAGTCTCTTCCTTTGTTTTAATTCATAATTTAAAGGTATTCTTCTAAGAATCTAAACACACGAAGGAAAGTAACTAGTATGTTTACTTCGTCCGAAAACACAGCACATTCATAAACACTACTTAAAAAAAACAACTATCAAAAAACGTGCAAAATTCACTCTGATTTTGAAACAGAGAACTGTGAAATTTAAGCTAGGAAAAATATAGGGGAAAAAACACTTTATTTTAGATGTCACACATCTGTTAAAACTGTGTGGTGTCGCCCGCGTGGCGCAGTGGTAGAGCGTCTGCTCTAGAGTCGCGGAGTAAGGAATTAATCTTTACATCCCATTGTGGGACGTGGAGAACGGTCCTACGGATAAGACTGTATAAACCGAGGTCCCGTGTCGCAGTAGGTGCTGGCACGGAAAAGATCCCTCACTGCTCAATGGCCCTGAGTGCCGAGCATAGGTCAAAATTTGCAGCTCTCCACCGGCAAGTGGTGGCGTCTCCATATGAGTGAAAAATTCTCGAGAGGGACGTTAAACAACAAATAAACAAAAAATAAACTGTTTGGTTGTGTTACAAATTTTGGTGTAATTTTAGAATAGTAATTTGTGCATTTCCGTTATCAATGGGTGAAACCCTGTGTACGGAAGCATTGTCTGCCAGACAGTGTATTCAAAAAGTTAAAGTAGAAGTGAAGATGAAAAAGAATAAACTTTTTTTAGTCAAAGAGAAACCAAGATATTTGGTTTGAAAATAATGCGCACAGAAAAAATTAATAGCGATTCTCCGTAACCACTTAAACTTCTTGCCACGCATGGTCACCGATTTTGATGAAACTTTGCCCATTATTACAACTTGACACCAGAAACATATATCAAATAAAAGTTCGTTGCTATGTGTCTTGGTTGCCATGGTAACAGCCAGAAAAGTTGAAAAAAATTGAGATTTTCAGCTACTTTAAATCTTTATTAAGCCTTAATAAAGACTAAGAAAAACAAACACACTATTCTCCCAAAAATATGACACCTTGTTGCCACTTATGCTATAAAGAAACTATTTAGAATTTATCTCTAAGTAAGTGGTAACCATGGGTACATTGGAATACATTTTAGATGCTGAAAAATGCTGAAAAACGCTCAATATTCACAAATGATAGATGTTACATGATCAAACTCAATCAAAAACCTAAGAAAAACAATGAAAAATATTTACCTTATGTAATTAGGTATTGCCAATATTATTCTAAAAATAACTTTCATGGTTGCCATGGTAACACAGTGTCACCATGCCAAATCTGTTGCTATGATTGGATTAATGCTACTATCTTGAGGAAAAACAATAAAATTCATGACTGGCACATATACATCCTTAGGACCTTGCAACACCGACAACATAAGAAAAATTGAGATTTATTGTTACTTTGCAGTGTAACCATGGAAACAACATACTACTTGTTTAAAGTGATATTTTTTTGCTGCCTTAGGAATTTACTAACCTTTTAATCAAGAAACATATCATTTGAATCACATTGAATAGTACTTATCTCGTAGAACTAAAGTTGAATATCATATATTGATAAAGGTTGTTGAAAAATACAACACTGTTGCTATGGTTACCAAGAAGAGAAAATGTTCGATTTTGTTAATTTTATGTCAATATTAGACCCTATGTGCCAGGTTTTTGCATCCAGTTAGAGATTGGGTGGTAGTCAAAATTGAAAGTCAAGTTAGTTGTTCACATATATCAATCATAAAAGTTTTGGGAATCTACATAAAAGGATACGTATCCAAGGAAACAGAGTATTTTTCAGATTTTTATGCATGTTTATTCGCCTTATTTCCATAGCAACGTACTATTTAAAGAATTGAAATTGAATTTTTTGAAATGTGAAAATTAGGGTCACACCAAGGCCTTTAAAAATTGATCATCAGTTATATGGAAATATGCTTTTTAAAAAGATAGGATAAGATTAAAACACTAAGAGAGTAAATTTAAAAGCCCTTCGTGGTATTAAAACCATGGCAACCATTGCCAACCTATAAGAAATATCATATTTTGTCCTTGGTATATGTTACAAGGATCTCTTGTCTATTATTTGCTTGCATTTCAACCTATAATTGTTTTTATTCTTAAGTGTATGACTTTATAAAATTAAATGAACAAAATTATTACATTTGAATACTTTGTTTCCATAGTAACTTATGTTATAGTAGATTTACCAAACATGTTTATCATGTATTTAAGACATCAGGCCTTCAACTTTCAGAAACAGTCATTGCCACTTATTTGCTTTGCTGCCAACGTTAACTGTGGGACTCTGAACATGTTGAAAAATGCCATTTTTCAAACTTTACATGTTGCTATGGTAACCATGACACGTAGCAACCAATTTTTGCCTGATTTGAATTTACGGTATCAAAGACTTTTATCATAGAGAGTTTGGAGAAATTCTGAGACTATGCGTGCCACAGCTCCTATATAAAAGTTCAAGTCATTACAGAGAATGGCTCTTAAATTAAAAACTTCAAAGTTTTCTTGTGCATACTTCACCTATTTTAGGACGGGGGAAGATCAGGAAAACTTGATTCATTTTATGTTTTATTTTTATGGCATACAT